GATATTATCGTGAGTACCACTGAATTACTGTCCTAAGACTTTTGATGTCAACTTTGTATGATGGGGACATTTCACATCTCACACAAAGGAGGCACTGGGACTTAGAAACTTAAGAAAATTATTAGAACCATTAAGACTGAGGTGAAGAATTTGTGCAGCCTTCCACAATTTCAAAGAGGTAGTGATAGATGCTTGTCCTCCTGGCGATGTCAAATGCAGTTTCTTCCAGGTTGTTCTTCAGACCTGCTTTGATGTAGCGGTTCATCAGGAGGAGTTCAAGGGTATCTTTGCTGTCTCTGTTCCCAGCAGCTAGATGTAAGGGGGTCAAGAGGCCTTTTGTTTGGGCGTTGATGTCTGCATCATGCTGCAGTAAGAAAGAAGCCACTCTGGTGTTATTCCACTTACAGGCACTGTGCAGGGGTGTCCAGCCATCCACAGTCACCGCGTGAACATCTGCCCTGTGTGCAATCAACTCCCGGACCACGTCTAAGTGTCCGCTGTAGGCTGCTCGATGGAGCGGGGTGTACCCATCTTCATCTCGAGTGTTCACGTGGGTGGCCTTTTCTGAAAGCAGTCTTCGCACTGTGGTCAGCTGAGAAGAAAATAGATCTTTTACAAACCCAACTCGAAATGAAACAATAAGCAAAGAAAATTAAACCATCTAGTGTTCGATTTAATTAAGTTAAATAAAAACTTCTTTGTTAGCAGATGACTGTAAAATAAAAAATACGATTTTTGGGGGGGGTGGGGAACTGATTTAACAATGAACAAGTCAGTGTTAACTATAAACTGTTGATTCTAAGAGCATGATTCTCTGAATACCAAACCATACATTTATTCCTGGTCTAATGAAGGCTTATTGTATAAAAGCTATAGTCCTAAATGAATAATACAGGCTAGAATTGTATTAATATTTTATATTTCATCTGCGAAGAAAACATAGTAATGGAACAGACTGATCTTTCTGTAGTAGGATTACCACACCAATATACATACTGTATAAAACTTTAAAAAATACCTACTGTATAGCACAGGGAACTCTACTCAATATTCTGTGATAACCTAAATGAGAAAAGAATCTAAAAAAGAATATATGTATAACTGAATCACTCTGCTGTACATCTGAAACCAACACAACATTGTAAATCAACTACACTCCAATTAAAAAAAAAAACTTCTTTTAACAGTAGAATACAATGGTAACAAGGAAGTCGAGATTAAGGAGCGCAATTCCTTCTAACTAAAACCACCTCAGATACATGTTTTCAGGAAGTGATTTTCAGTTTGGTCTGAGGACCTCTGGTGGGATGCAGTCTGCTCTTGGCTTAAAAAGTTATCCAAAAATATAAGACCATTTATTAGTTTATTAACAGAGGCATGGGGGAACTTAGTAAAACAAGATACAAATGGCTAAGTGGGAAGAACAGACTTTGGCTGTTAAGCAGGGTCATCCTACTTGGACGATTCTGGGCAAATTAATGTTCCTGAATCTCAACTTCTTAATCTGTAAAAGGGAAGAATATGACATATCTTATAGGGATATATGAGGATTAAATCAATAATGTAGTAAGGCACATGGTATAGTTGGTATTTAATAAATGTTAATTCCCATCCTCTCTTTACTAAATACTTGTCTTTAGGATGACCCTAATGACTTAATATAAATGATTTAAAGATAAAGATGATTGCTTGCTCTCTTTATAATCATTCTTAAAGCTCCCCAAAATACCCATGTGACACTTTGTAGCTACTATGTGTTTTCACATACATTGCCTCTGTATAAAACCCTGTATGAAAGAGGCAGGTATTATGGTGGCCATTTTTACAGATAAGAAAATAGAGGTTCAGAAACAGTAGGCTTTGCCCAAAGTTACAGACTAAAGCAAGATTCAGGACAGGTCTTCTGGCTTCCAATCTAATACGTTTCCTACTAAATTAAGGTTTCCTCTTTAACTGTTCTTTTTTTACCCGATTTTTTTCAGCAGCCCAAAGAAGCAATTTGCTTGGATCTTTTTCCATTTTTTTTTCTTGCAATTGATACCACTCTTCAGTTTTTTCATCTTGCTCTTCATCTTCATCAGAATTCCCTACCCAGAGACTTTGGGTGCCAGTGGGAATAAGGTGTCCATGTGTTTCTAATAATTCAAGTTGGTTAAAGTGTTCAGAAAAGTCCAAGGAGTTCTCTGGGTCTGGTTTTCCATCATCATTTACTTTCTGTTTTTCCATTTTTACTACTATTCTAAATACAAAGCATTTCAAATGCCAGAGTATAAATAATCTTTCCAGAGATGAATTATGTCTGCTTTATTTTATTCATCAAGATCTGAAACACAAACACAAAAATTAGGAGCAAAATGGTTATTGAGGCTTTATCAATAGCATAGATAAGTCTTGCAAATATACACAAATAAGCCCTGTCTAAACTTTTTTGGTGTTTATTAATACCCTTCACATTCATTAAATATTGGAACTGACAGATTTCAGTTATCTTTATTTTTAATATTGTTTTTCTACTAAGTCAGTGGTTATAACACTATTTTGAATCTATTGGTTCACATACTATATTGTATTATGCTAACAGTGATTAATGCTTGAAGCTTTTAAATTATACCTAATAAAGATAACCACATTCACGATTTTTATAGACTAGACACACAGAAGCTATAAAGCAGGAGCAAAAATTTTTAGTTCCTAAAAAATCTACTTCCAAGAATCAGAGATTCTTAGAGATGGAATAGCCCCCAAAGGACATGTGTCCCAATCTCTCATCAATGCAGATATCTTTATCATGACATCTGTAATAATCAACCTATTTCTACTTTAACAGTTTCAGGCTTAGGAAAATTCACTGCTTTAAAACGTAGTCCTATTCATTGACAGATAACTATAGTTCTTAGTTGGGTCCTTGTTTTGAAACGGAACTTTGGCTGTCATTTACTCCTTCATTCAACAAAGATGAATAGAATGCCTGGTATGTGCCAGTCTCTGGGTACTGGGATTCAATAATGAACAAGATCCACATCTTAACCTCAAGAAGCTTCCTGTCTCGTCAGGGAGATTGGCAAAGACAGTGTTTAAGTGCTATAATAAGACCATATCTAGATATGATGAATATACAGGAAGGTCGTAATTAACCCAGTCCTCAGGGAGTAGAGAAGGCTTCCTGAAGGAAATGATATTTATTCTGCTAGGCTGCCATAACAATTTATAAACCAATATCAGCTTAAAGAGTTATGCAGCAGATTAAACTTTAACCAATTAAACAAAATGAGAATAATAGATATTTTAAAAATATTTCTCAGCTTCCCAACTATATTTGTCGAAATCTTATCAGTCTTTCATGACTCTTCTCAGATGTTGCCTCCTTCATTAAGTCTTTCTTGAGCCTCCAAATTAGATCTCTCTCTAGTTTCTACTTTTTTTGTGCTACATACTGTTTTATTTCACCACTAATTTTGTTCTTGTTTTAGTCTCTTAAAAGATTGTAAGCTTAAGGATAGGGACTATATTTAACTTACATTTATGTCCCACTTATATAAAGCAAACATTAAGAAATATTTGTAGAATTAAATAGAATTAAAGCCCTATCACTTGATTTTGCTTGGAATGGATTCTGAGAAATTTGAGAGTTAGTCGTGTACCCCTAAGATACTGATTTCTTTCTACCTAATTTTCACGAGCTTTAATTGATACAATCCTAATGCATCAGTAGATTTTATTACTACTGCCAAGAGCATTAAAGTCAAGTTTAAATTTATCACGCATGACCAGTACCTTCTCTGTACCTGTTACTTTGTTGCACAATGAAAGGATTGTACTAAAGGATTTCCAAAGACTGTCCAACTTTACAGAGTCAATCGAGAGACCCTATCAGAAAGGCTTTATGTTCTAATATTTTCACTTTCCTCAAACTGTTCTCTGAACTTTGCAATACAAAAGTGATCACAAATCTACTCATTAAACACTTTATTAAATACCTTACTGTATAGTTCACTTGTCATTTGTATCAACCACAGTAACATTATAGCACAGATCTTATACCCCCCTTTCCTTTTCATAAAAACTCTTTTTATAATTTAAATTTACTGTTCCAGGTACAATAAATTACATATAAAAATTTCTTAATGGATTTAATTTAAAAAGTCAACCCCAGGTGCATCTCCCTGATTCAGGGCTTAAAAAGCCGATCAAGATACCTACTTGATGATACTCCACCAAGAAGAACTAGGGTATGTTTTTTAAAGATCACATTCCATAAGAGATCTAAACTATGTTAACTCTTAACAATTCAGTGACAGGTGGGGCCGTAAACCCCATTTTACAAGTGAAGGCGCTGAGGTTCTGATAGATTAAAACAACTTTCAATGGAACTAAAAGCCCAAATTTTCTAATTCAAAAGTTTCACATTGTTTTTTAATGTACTCTATTTTACTGCTGTCAGCACAAAGCAATGCAGATGTGCTGAACCCGAGATCCAGGCAGACAATAAGGGGACGCAGGGAAAGTCTTGTAAACTGGAGTCCGAATGCTCAATCTCTGGGGAGTGGAGGTGAGGGAGAAGACCACCAGTCCCGGCCCTCCAGCACCGGCTGGTCACTTCACAGGCCCAGGAGTCGCGTCTGAGGCCTTCCGAACTTCTACGAGCGAAGAAGCCGCTCCAGCCCTACTTAGGACCCACGACGCGGCCCGATTTGCAGGGCTCGGCAGGGGTCGACAGGGGACCCGCCCCTTTGGGCCCAGGAGTTCTTAGGTGGCGCCAGGCGACCAGGAAGCGTGGCCCCGGACGAGAAAGACCTACCCACCTTAGAGAGGGGGAAATCGCCGCCGGAAAGCTCGCTTCCGGGGTTCGTCCCCCGGGCTACTCAGGATTGGCTCCTGTATGAGGGCGGGTCCTCGCTGCAACTTTTCCTGCTACCTTACGGCAGTCGGCCCCCAATGAGAGGAGTTGAAGCGCCTACGTCATTTATGAGGTATCGCGAGAGAAGGAGGTGCCTTTTTCTCTCCCGCTTAATTCATGTTTATGGCCAAGCTGCTTTTCAGGCGGTGCTGTTGCTTTTCTTCTCAAGAATCTCCCTCCTTCTTCCCGGGTAAAAGACAGCCTCGGGTTCCAGGGTGGGGCTTTGGAGAGTCCAGATGTGGGGTAGTTTAGGAGTCGCTTTCTGTATCTGCAGGATCGCTAGCGGAAGCCCAGAGAGGATTGACTCTGGGCCGGGTAGGCTCGGGAGGAGCCTGGGAGGTTTCCGCGTTCTGGTTTCTGAGGGTCCGGTGGTGCGGGGCTGCTGAGGCTTAGAATCCCCACCGAACCAGGAATCCGGACGTGGGAGGGGTCGTTCCGCGGTGGCAGCCGCTCCTCCCCAAAGATCCTGGCCATTTTCCTTAAACCACGTGTTTCTGCTTATTTACACTAGCTTTAAACGTGGACCCCCTATCTTTTCAAAACAAGCCCATTCCTTAAAAAAAAATTTTGTGTTTAAGCAGGAAATACGGGGTCGCCTCATGCTCCAGCCCATGCATGCAACTTAAACATTTCTGCACATCCAGAGTTCGTGTGCTAAACCAGAACTATTGGGTGTGACCCTTTTTGCCCATTCATTTAACAAGCATTAGCTTCCCATGGGGCATAGAAAGGGAAACAGGAGAGGAGCTTAATCATAATGGTGAAACTAGAGTGTCACTGGAGATATGTTTTTCTGTTTTGCTTTTAAGCTCTGAAAATAAAAGTATAGTAGGTGCTTAATTGAAAATGAGACACTTCCAAAATTGCCAGTCTGCTTTTTAAAAATGTGTTTTAAATAATATAATTTTGTTTTAGAATTTGGAATCGAGTGAGTTTTCTGACGTGTTTGAGCACAGAACCCAGGGGTACTTGGAGAGAGAAGTGGTCCTGGAGCAGCTGGACTGATCATAGAAATGAGTCCTGCAGATGCTCTGTAAGCACCTGTCTTCCGAAGTCGTCTTTGTTGCTTTGGGTTTCTACAGTCTATCAACTATGATCACCATAAAAGAAAACTTATTTAATAAATTACGAGTAAATAAAGACCTTGCCTCTGAATACAAGTGTTAGTCATCAAAATGAATATTTGGAATGGTTAACATTTCATGCTATATGTTTATTAACTAAAGATAATATGCAGCTATAGATTGGGGTTTTGCAGTAGGTTGGCATATTGCTATATAAGTTTATGTTCTTATGTTTTGTCTTAAACTATTGAAGCTATAAATATGCTTGGACTAAGTCTTACTAGCTAATGCAAGTCTTTTTTTTTTCTTAATTTATTTTTGGCTGCGTCGGGTCTTCATTGTTGCGGCGGGCTTTCTCTACCTGCGGCGAGCGGGGTTGCGGTGTGCAGGCTTCTCATTGCGGTGGCTTCTCTTGTTGCAGAGCTCGGGGCTCTAGGCGCGCGGGCTTCAGTAGTTGTGGCTCATGGGCTTAGTTGCTCCGCAGCATGTGGGACCTTCCCGGACCAGGGATCAAACCCGTGTCCCCTGCATTGGCAGGGGGATTCTTAATCACTGAGCCACCAGGGAGGTCCTAATGCAAGTCTTTTAAAGCAGATTTTTAAAGAAGTAAATTGCTTTAGTACTGAATAAATTGCAAATGAATCTGACTAAAATGAAAATAAATAAAAGGACTAGAAAAAGTTATGTGGAAAAAGCTTCAAACTTGGAATCTTTCACCCTTGTTTTAATTTCTTTTTATCTATCTGTCTGTCTATCTATCTGTCTATCTATCTATCTAATCTATCTAGGCTGCACTGGATCTTCGTGGCAGCGCGCCCCGTCTTCCTTGCAGTGCACGGGCTTCTCTAGTTGCGGGCTCTAGAGCGCGTGGGTTTAGTAGTTCCGGTATGTGGGCTTAGTTGCGGCATGTGAGGTCTTAGTTCCCCAACCAGGGATTGAAGCCGGGCCCCCTGCATTGGAAGCACAGAGTCTTAACCACTGGACTACCAGAGAAGTCCCCTTAATTTCTTAATTAGCATTGTGTAACCTTGGACAAGTTAGCAAGCCTCTAAACTTTGTCTCCATTTCTTCATTTGTATAATTGGATTACAAATGACTCTCACGGCTTCCCTGGTGGTGGCGCAGTGGTTAGGAATCCGCCTGCCAATGCAGGGGACACGGGTTCGAGCCCTGGTTGGGGAAGATCCCACATGCCACCGAGCAACTAAGCCTGTGCGCCACAACTACTGAGCCTGTGCTCTAGAGCCCGTGAGCCACAACTCCTGAGTGCACGTGCCACAACTACTGAAGCCCCCGTGCCTACACCCCGTGCTCTGCAACAAGAGAAGCCAACGCAATGAGAAGCCTGTGCACCGCAACGAGGAGTAGTCCCTGCTCTCCGCAACTAGAGAAAGCTGGCGCACAGCAACGAAGACCCAACTAAGAAAAAAAAAAAAAAAAAAAAAAGACTCTTAGATTAATTCTCATATTTAAGTGAGAGACCTCAAGGGAAAATACCTTACAAATTGCTATGGAAGTCTGGGTAGCAATCTGAAAGTATTCTGACTTACCCGTATGTATATAGCAATCAGAACTGTTCAGATCATTTTGAAGTTTATGAAGAGAAATCTTTTCTGGAAAATTCTCTTTTGTATAAAGATTTGAATTTTGGAGATATATATATAAATTTTTTTTGAAGTTCGTATGGTTTAGTGAAAACAGCCTGAGTGTTAATACCGGGTTTTACTTCCATTTCTACCATGTTGTTTCATGATAAATCAGTTAATTTCCCTGTATATAGCTTTCTAGTTTTTCAGAGATAACAATACTTAACCTGTTTATGTGTGGGAGTTGAGATGAGATCAGGGATACCAAAATATTTTAAAGACAATTAAAAGTTATATTAAGTTTAAGAGAGAATTAATAACTATCATATTGCTGCTTCACACGAAAGTACTTTTGAATACTACCAAACTTAAATGGCATTGTAAATTAGTTTTGTTACTTGGCCAAAGTCATTAGTGAAAAACTAACTTTGTATGGAGAGCAAACTTCTTCAGGGGCCTGGATGTAAGTTACTAGTTTATTAGGATAAAAATCTACTTATAAAGTAAGGGGAAGGGCTTTTAAAATTAACCAGTTAATTCTAATTTTCCTGGGAAAGTGCAAAGTAGATAAATAGCAAGTTTAGATACTGGGATCAAATCCTCTTGGATTTTTGCTGTAGAACAGAGCAGGAAAACAACCAAGCTTTCAAATCCAGGTTACATGTCAGTTTATGAAACTGGTTGTAATGAGGTTATACATTTCTGAAGCAGTTACAAAACCTTTTAAAAATGTGTGTACATTTGTTCTGCTTTGTATTAGTGGTAAGAAAACTGTGACATTAATGGTCTGTTGAATGCTTCAAATTTTTGGACCTAGTTTAGGGCTAGAAAAATGATTTTACGTCATAACTGCTATTATTTTATAGATTTAGGTTTCAGTTTGCTTGAACATCCTTTTAATGAATTATATTGACGTGTTTCTTCTTTTTAAATACAGCGATGATGAAAATACATTTAAAATCTTAGTTGCAACAGATATTCATCTGGGATTTATGGAAAAAGATGCCGTCAGAGGAAATGATACGTTTGTAACACTTGATGAAATTTTAAGACTTGCCCAGGAAAATGATGTGAGTTTAGTTTGCATTTTTGCGATTTCTACCAAGTTCCCTTACTCAACTTGCTCTTTTTCCTTTTAAAGATAGAGGTTTGTTTTATAGGCCCATTAGCTCACACTGCCTGCTTAAATATCAGTATACTGAAAGCCCAAAGCAGATTTTGTGTGCTTTATTCCCTGAATTCAAGTAGGAGCTACTTTTGTAAATAGTCTGTAAAAATTTACAAATATTTACAGTGTTTACTGAGTGCAGCATCCCGTGGCAGTTTCTATTTGAAATGTAAAGATGACTGTCATAGTTTCTGCTTTCAAAGAACATGCAGCAAGCAAGTCAGTATGTGAGATATGATAAACGTCAAAGATGCTCAGATGCAAGAGCCATAAGGTTATAAACAGCATTTCCTGGGAGTTTGGAGGTAGAAGAGATCACATTTAGATGAGGATAGCAAGATGAGGTGAATGAAGTGGCATTTAACTCGGGCTTAGAAGGATGGTAGGCTTTTAATGAGTGAAGAGCAAAGAGAGTGTACACCTCCCGTGAAGCAGTAGGAAGGGCACAGAGGCGAGATGATTGGTCCATTAGGGGTACAGCAGCTGTTTGGCTCACTGGTAGGTCGCGTGTTAGAAAGCGCACTGAAAGACTAGAAATGTGATTTGAGCTGCATCAAGAGCTTCAAATACCAGATTGAGGAGTTTGTACCCCGTTTAATAGAAAGTCTTCCGGCAACAGAGTACAGCATGAAGGCAAGATAAGTTGGAGGCTTTTTAAAAGTGGTGCCATGGAATGGAAAAGAGGAAGTGAATGCAGGAGATAATACAAAGAGAGGATTTGGATACTTTGATTGGTTAGTCAGTCGTAGGGGGTGGGGATGAGGGAGAAGGGGATGACGGTGACTCTGGAGTGTATTATGTTTGGGTGGATGGTGGTACCAATAATAGAAGTAGGTTTTAAGTAAGGAAGATTTCTTCCTTATTTTCATACTTCCTTATAACATCCTTCCTAATGTGGGAAGGTGATGAATTCTGATTGAGACCATTTGAGTTGGAGATTCCAATAGGACATTCAAGGAAACATTCCAGCAGACAGTTGAAATGTCCATCTCGAGCCCAAAAGACAGCTGGGGAATAAATATAAATTCTGGGGACTTGCAGACTTCAACCTTGACTTTTCCTCAGAGTTCTCTTCAGTTTTTCTACAAGTCCTTTGGTTCTTATTCCCAAATGTATACAAGTGGAACCTCTCTACTATTTTCTACCTTCATGTCTGTAAACTTAGTCCAAAACTTTTGTCATATTTTGCTGGACTGCAGTAGCTCCCCTTAGGTTTTTTTACTTCCATTCTTTCCCCCTACAGTATTCAGCATAGCAGCCAAAGTGAACTTACAAAAATCATGTCAGATCATGTCACTCTGCTGCTTATAATCTAAGTAGCCTTCCACTGAATCTAGAATAAAAATTAAACTACAAGGTTCAGTGTGATCTGGCCCCTGCCAGGAGACTTCATCTCCTTCCACTCTGCCTGGTTAGTTTGTGCTTCATCCATACAGAGATGTTTGTTCTACTCTGGTACCTCTGCATGTGTGGTTCTCTTCCTGCTCAGAGCACCTTGATCTTGCCAGGGTTGACTTCTCAGTTCTCAATTCAAGTTTTACCTTTTTGGGGGAGGTCTTACCTGATGTCTCCAAACACTCTTATCACATTACTCATTTATTTTTTTTTATAGCACCATCTGAAATAATTTATTGAATTATTTACGTGTGTATTATCTTCTTTACTAGAAGGTGAACTCCATGAGAATGAAAAATCTTTTTTGCTTGCTCATGTGTATCCTAGTACCTAGAAAGGATCTGGCAAGCAGTAGGCACTTTTTTTTTTGCGGTACGAGGGCTTCTCACTGTTGCGGCCTCGCCTGTCGCGGAGCAGAGGTTCCGGACGCGCAGGCTCAGCGGCCATGGCTCACGGGCCCAGCCGCTCCGCGGCATGTGGGATCCTCACGGACCGGGGCACGAACCCGCGTCCCCTGCATTGGCAGGCGGACTCTCAACCACTGCGCCACCAGGGAAGCCCAGTAGGCACTCTTATAAATGAGTCTCCTTTTACCCTGAGGGCAGAGAAATTTGCAGTCAAAGAAGGTCTGTTTCCTGTCAGAGAATCCTCTGTCCTTTCTTTTCTAACTCTTAGATGCTGAAGTATTTCTTTCCCTGAGCGCGAGCTTTTTTTTTTTTTCTCTACCTTGTCCTTTCCTTCCCTTCCATTTCCTCCTGTTTCCCCTCCCTGCATCCTTTAATCTTAACTGCCCCCTCCCACCTACAGCCCCATACTGGTACTTCCAAATGCATGTTTACTTCCCCCCATCATTTGTGTTTATTATTTCTTCTTATTGAAATCTAAATTCTTCCCGATTTTTAGGTTCTCTATTTTGTGGGCCTGTGCCATCTAACCAGCCTTATTTCTACTCTCTAGTTCTTTGGAATTTTTTTTTAACTTTTAATGTTGAAACAATATCAATCTTACATAAACATTGCAAGAATAGTACAAATAATTCCTTACCCTTCACCGAGATTTTCCTACACTTTACTACTACATTTGATTTATCCTCTCTCTTCATAAATACACACACACACTATTTTTTTTTTTGCGGTACGCGGGCCTCTCACTGCTGTGGCCTCTCCCATTGCGGAGCACAGGCTCCGGACGCGCAGGCTCAGCGGCCATGGCTCACGGGCCCAGCCGCTCCACGCTCCACGGCATGTGGGATCTTCCCGGACCGGGGCACAAACCCGTGTCCCCTGCATCAGCAGGCAGACTCTCAACCACGAGGGAAGCCCCACACACTTTTTCTGAACCATTTGAGAGTAAATTACATATGTAACCACAGTGCACTTATCAAAACCAGGGAATTATGTTGATCCAGTACAATCATGTAATTCTAAGATGCTGCCAGTTGTCTCGACAAAGTTTGTCATAGCAGTTTGGGGGCAGGTCAGTGGTGTCCAGTTGCCAATCCAGGATTACATTTTGCATTTAGTTGTCATGTCTCTTTAGTCTCTTGTAATCTGGGATGTTTCATCTGTCTGCCTTGTCTTTCATGACCCTGACACTTTTGAAGAGTCCAGGGTAGTTACTTTTGCAGAATATTCCTCAGTTGGAGATGTCCGACGTTTTCTCATGAGTAGATTCACTTTGGGCAGGAATACCACAGAAGCAAGTTGTGTTCTCAGTGATCCCTGGAGTCACAAACCAGTTTTTAAAAATATTAAAGAAAAAATTTTTTTTTGTTTGTGGTAAAATACACATACCATAAAACTTACCATCCTAACCATTTTTAAGGGTGCAATTGAGTAGTGTTAAGCACATTTGCATGGTTGAGTGACCAACCTCCAGAACTCTTTTCGTCTGGTAAAAGGGAAACTATATCATTTAAACAACTATTTCTCTTTCCCCTCCCCTGTAAAAATGTTTGTTTGCTTTGTTGTTTTTGTTTTGTTTCTTCTATGCCTTGGATTATGATCATTTTCTCCCTTTACTCAAATCACGTTTAGTTTAGAAGACCTGGCTTAAATCCCACATTTTTATTGAAGTCTCTCTGACTGTTGTCAGGGCAGAAATATTTTCCTTCTTCCCTTCTAAGTTCCCTGGCTGGTCTAATAATCAAGTTGATGTAAGACAGATTAATAGGGTAAAAATAAATTTCCTATGTATGGGAGCCCCACAAAAGTATGAGACTCCTCAGCAGTGAAGTAATTGAGGCTTATCTGCCATCCTGAGCTAAGGAGAAGGGGAAAGGAGTCTGGGGCTTTAAAGGGGAGGAAGGCAATGCACAGGAAGATGAGATGAGCACATGTTTGGTAAACAGGTGTTTGCCATGCCATGCGATGTCTTTCTGATATCAGAAATTGTCTCTAGTAATAGCTCTCTTCCTGGTACATGCCCCCTATCCAGATTCTTTTAGGCAGTTTAGAGAGAGGTAAAAAAGCTTTTCCTGACTCTGCTGGGCCTTAATTGCCTTCAGCTCAAAACAGTCCCCATTGCCACAGTGGTCCATTTTGTGGTGACATATCCTGTTGCCCTCACTACTGTAGCCCATGACGATCTGTATTGCTGGGTTCTTTTGTATAATTAAGAACTTAATCAAGTTTCTTTAAGTAGATTGTACACTTTTGAAAGTGTGTTGGACTTTCTTTCTGTGTGATTTCCCTTCTCTCTGGTTGTTCCTGAATGTTCTTCCTCGAAATCTCGTTTATCCTTCATGGTGCAACTCAGATGCCACCATGTTAGCCCATTCTTCCCAGACGTTGTCCTCAGGTGAATTTCCTCCTCTCAGTTGGAATTAATTGTAATGTCATCTCTACTCCTGGTTTGTCTATATATCTGTTGTAGTGCGTGTCAGAGTCTGACTTACGTTTAGATGCTTAGCAGTTTGTCTCTCCCATTAGATTTTGAACATATTTAGGATAGGGATCGTATTTTATTTATCACACTCAGTATAGGGTATGGCACGCTGTCTGTATTTAATGAGGGCAAGGACATGATATATTTTGTAGATGGCTATTTCCTTAGCTGCCAGTGCCTGTAGGGACTCTAAATAATTGTTGAATGAATCAAGTGAATAATTTGGATTGAATCTGCTATCCCTTCCATAGGTTTTATTAAAGTGCTAAGTTTATGTTTGATTTGGATAACTTTAAAAAAAGAAGTATGATCACTTTGGGTAGTGTGAATTAGAAACTTGGTGTAGTAATTTGAAGATGGCCTTTTTGAAGGTGGTCTAGGAACCTAAGCTGAAGTCATATTAATAACCAGATTGAAAGGCCCTTTAACTAAACAAAATATGAAGCTTTAAATCTCCACACATAATTGTATCTTTTACAAGATTTTTTTTCTATCTCTTTGCGCTATAGTTTTAAAAATTTTACCTATAAAGCATACTAATTTTCACACTATTTTCTGTTGATTAGGTGGATTTCATTTTGTTAGGGGGTGATCTTTTTCATGAAAATAAACCCTCAAGAAAAACAGTACATAACTGCCTCGAGTTATTAAGAAAATATTGCATGGGGGATCGTCCTGTACAGTTTGAAATTATCAGCGATCAGTCGGTCAACTTCGGTTTTAGTAAGTAAGTATATGTAAATGCTTAAATGAATGTTTCCTTATGATATTTTAATATCACATGTATGTATAATGTATAATATTTTCTGTATAAGACACATGAACACAGTAACAATTAGCCATTTTACCTTTACTATAAGCTATTTCCTTGGTAAATGTAGTTCTTTGAATTTTCTGTACATTGTTATATTAAATTCTATTTCCCTAATTAATAGTGAGATGAGTAACTTCTCAAATTTTTTTTGTACATTTGGTATCTCTTCTGTTCATATCCTTTGTCCATTTTAAAAATTGGGAGATTTTTGTCTTTTCCTGTTGAATTTGCAGGAGTTATTTCTAGATATTAAGCCTTTGCTAGGCATGTATTTTTTCCCAATCAGTGGATTGTCTTTTGACTTTGTTTACAGGGCCTTTTGATGACAGAAATATTTAATTTTGATGTTCATAGTCAAACACGTTATTTTTCTTCTTTAATATTTGTGCTTTGGGGACTTATTTACAATATTCACCTAGAACCCCATGTCATAAAGGTACTCTGTTTTTTCTTAAACATCGTACAGGATACCACATTGCATTTAGTTGAAATGGTCTCAAAATCTCCTTTCGCCTATGCCAGTCTTTTCGAGACAGACACTGACACTTTTGAATTGTACTGGTCAGATATTTTGTAGAATGTCTCTCAACTTGGGTTCTTCTCGTGATTAGACTAGGGTTATTGGTTTGGGGGAAAGAATATTCTTTATAGGTGAAGTGCCCTTCTCAGTATGTAAGGAGTACATGCTATCAACATGGCCTGCACTGGTGAGGTTAACCTTGGTCACTTGGTTAAGATGGTGTCTTGCAGGTTTCTCCACTGTCAAGTTACTATTTTTCCCTTTCCATATACTGTTTGTTAGAAGAGAGTAGCTAAGTCCAGCCCACACTCGAAGAGAGGGCATTATGTTTCACTTCCTGGAGAGAGCAAAGAGTATCAAAGAATTTATGGGCGTGTTAAAACCACTACAGTAATTGGTAAATATTTTAGGGGAGGCTATGCAACTATTCTGTTTCTCTTTAAAGTTTGTCCAATAATTTTAGCACTCGTCAGTGGCTCTTGCCTACAGCAGTTTTAACTGTGGTGTCCTAATGGTGATTTTCTAAACATTTCCCACATTCTTTCTGCATTTATTAATTGGAATAGTTCTGTAAAGATTTGTCCCTTGTCCCCCATTTGTTTATTTATTTATTCAATTGTCTATATCAGTAGGAATTTATTCAATTGTTTATATCAGTATGAACTCATTTTTTTTCCTTTGAATTGTAATTTAATACTATTATAATCTATTTTGTTGCTCAAATAAATTGTTCCAGCTTTAGCCATTGGGCACTCTTTCAGAACACCTCTTGGGTCCTTTCAACATGGCGTCATCTTTTTTCCCCCCTTTTTGGCTCTGTAAGATGCTCCAGGCTAATTTTGTATTTTCTTTTCCCTAGCTTTAGACTCATCCATTTCTTCTAGGAGTCTTGGTTCCTTTTGGAAGCTAGAATCTGGATGCTAGTCATGCACATGGCTATTGTCTTGTCACTGCTTCTAGGCTCTCTCAGTGCACAGAGCTTAAATACACACACACACACACACACACACACACACACACACACATATACACACATGTATACATGTAAATGTAAAATAAATTAAAAAAAAAAAATATATATATAAAGTAACCCCTGAAAACAGACATAGCTATATTTATTTCTTATCTATTTGTATATATATATTTTAAAAATGAGTTTATATTGGGAGGTAAATTTTTGGAGATTTTTTTAGGTAAGAAAATGGCTATTTTTAACTTCGGATTGATAATTTGGCTGAGTATATAATTGGATTTTAAAAGATTCTTGTAATTTTTAACATATGTCCTTGTTTTTAAGAATTCTGATCAGTCTTTACCCATCTTCTATTCAAATCTAAAACTTTATTATTTTTAAACTGCTTCACCCACCCCATAGATGTGTTTACCTATTTCTTTGCTTACTATTGCTGTTTCTTATGTTTCATTCCTTTTGTCTAGATTCAGTTTCCTTTCTGAAGTACAGTTTTTAGTAGTTTTTCACTGCCTGTCAGTAAACTCTTATTTTTAGGTGCTTTTGAGGAGTCTTGCTATCATTTTAGTTGCTGGAAAAGCAGTATAACATAGTGCTTAAAAGCATGGATTCTGATATAAGACTGTCTGAGGTCAAATCCTGGATTTGCCCTGCCTTAGTTTCATTATTATAAGATGGGAAAAGAATAGTGCTAATCTTACAGAATTGTTGTTAGGAGTAGTTGAGTTAATAAGAAAATTGCTTAGAATAATAGCTGGCATAAAGAAAGCACTCAGGTAACCATTAAGTTTTTCTCATTGCCCTTAGCATTTTGCAGTCTTACTGTGACATATTTAGTTGTGGATTTAGTTCTATTTATCCTGTTTGGGCTACATGCATTTCAAACTAAGAATTTTTTTTGCAGCAATTTTGGAAAATTCTTATCCAGTATGTTTTCTGTTTCCTATTCTTTTTCTTTCTGAAAATTATTTATATTTTACCCACTTCTTAATATTCCCTATAACTTTATCTCTTTGTACTATATTTTAGATAATATTTCCCTCTGGTTTACTAGTTCATGTAAAAAATAGACCAAAAAAAAAAAGAGGGAAACTCTGAGAAAAGAAGACTACTAAGTAGTGAGTAGCTCAGTTCAATCCCTATCAAAATTCCAATGGCATTTTTCACAAAAATAGAACAACCAACAGGTACATGAAAAGGTGCTCAACATCACTAATCATCAGGGAAATGCATATCAAAACCACAATGAGATATCACCTCACTCACACCTGTTAGGATGTCTGTCATCAAAAAGATAAGGGAGAACAAGTGTTGGAGAGGGTGTGGAGAAAAGGGAACCCTTGTGCACTGTTGGCGGGAATGTAAATTTGTGCAGCCACTATGGAGAACACTGTGGAGGTTCCTCCCCAAATTAAAGATAGAATTATTATGTGATCCAGCAATCCTACCTCTGGGTGTATATCCAAAGGAAATGAAAATGGGATCTCAAAGAGGTAATCTGCATTCCCACATTCATTGCAGCATTATTCACAATGGCCAAGATATGGCAACAACATAAGTGTCCATCAGTGGAAGAAGGGATAAAGTTGTGATATATGTATGTGTGTGTGTGTGTGTGTGTGTGTGTGTGTGTGTGTGCAGATATATATGCACACACACAGCCATGTATATATATATATTCAGCCATGAGAAAGGACATCCTTTCATTTGAGACAACATGGATGGACCTTGAGGGCTTTATGCTAAGTAAAATAAGTCAGACAAAGAGACAAATACTGTGTGATATCACTTATACAGTATATGGAATCTAAAAAAGCTGAACTCATATAAATGGAGACTAGAATGGTGGTTACCAGGAGCAGGGGGAAAAGGGGAGATGTTGATCAAAAAAATATATAATTTTCAGTTTAAAAATGAATAAGTTCTCAGGATCTAATGTACAGCATAGTGGTTATAGTTAGTAATATTGTATTTTATACTTGAAAGTTTCTAAGAGAGCAGATCTTAAATATTCTCATTACGAAAAAGAAATGGCAGTTATGTGACATGATGCAGCTGTTAAGCTAGGTGTGTGTGAAGCTTAAAGTGGTAAGTAAGCTATAGTGGTTATCATTTTACAAAATATGAGTGTATCAAATCAACACATTATATACCTTAAAGTTATACAATGTTACATGTCAATTATATCACAATAAAGCTGGAGAAAAGAAAGTATATTATAATGCTACAATAATTTAAAAAGTGGTATGACTCATGAATTGATAGGCAGATAAGTGGAAGAGTATAGCAATTCCAGAAATAGCCACAATACATGTGGGAATTTAGTATTTGATAAAGGTGGTATCTCATATCTCCACAAAAAATATAGTTTATTTAATAAAAGAACTAGAAGAAACTGTTAGACATTTTAAAAAAAGATCTGGATGTGAAAAAGACTTTTCTAAGTGTTAACACAAACCCAGAATCCATAAAAAAAAAAAGATTGATATGTTTGTATTTGTAAAAGTAAATTTCTGCATGGCAAGAGCCTCCCCAAGCGAAGTCAAAAGTCTGGGTTCAACCAGGAAGAATATTTGCAACTCATGGCAAATTACGGTCTAATTTTCCCAATAGTTAATAGTTAAGTAGTTCTTTCAAGTCAATTAAAAAAAAATCCATGACTTAATAAAAATTAGGTAAAGAATATGGACATAGTTCATAGAAAAGGAAATAAAGTAGCATTTTAACATATTAAAAGAATATGAAAGATGCAGAATGAAGTATACTGATATATTTTTCTCCTATAAGATTGATATGGATCAGTAATTCTCAGTCCTGGGTGCACATTATCATTACCTAAGAATCTTAAAAAATACTGATGCCCAGTCTCCAGGTCATTTAATCTCTCTGAGAGTGTCTTGGACATTGGTGGATCTTCAAATATTCCTAGAAAATTCTAACATGCAGCTAGGGTTTAGAACCACTGGCATAGATTGAAAAAGCTTGATAATGTATTGGGTTGGCCAAAAAGTGCCTTCGGTTTTTAAGTAAAAATAAAAGACACATTTTTCATTTTCACCAAGAACTTTATTGAACAATGTGTTCATCCTTTTGTTCCACTACCTTCTGCCGTTTTTCAGGCAACTTCATAATTCCATCTTCCCAAAACTTTTTATCTTTTTGAGCAAAGAACTGTTCCAGGTGCCTTTTGCAGTCTCCAGGGAATTGAAATTTTTTCCATTAAGAGAATTTTGTAAAGATCTAAATAAATGGAAATCCAAATATGCAGTGTCTAGTGAATATGGCAGATGAATCAGAACTTCCAGCCAAGCTGTAACGGTTTTTGCCTGGTCATCAAAGCAACATGCGGTCTTGTGTTATCCTGATGGAAGAGTATGTGTTTTCTCTTGACTAATTCTGGATGCTTTTCGTCCAGTGCTGCTTTCAGTTGGTCCAGTTGGGAGTAGTACTTGTTGGAATTAATCGTTTGGTTTTCCAGAAGGAGCTCATAATAGAGGACTCCCTTCCAATCCCACCATACACACAACATCACCTTTGGATGAAGACCGGCCTTTGGTGTGGTTGGTGGTGGTTCATTTTGCTTGCCCCACAATTTCTTCCCTTCCACGTTATTGTACATATCCACTTGTCATTGCCCATCACAATTTGTTTTAAAAATGGAACTTTTCATTACATTTAAGTAGAGAATCACATGCAGAAATACGGTCAAGAGGGCTTTTTTCGCTTAACTTATGTGGAACCCAAACATCAAAGCGATGAACATAACCAAGCTGGTGCAAATGATTTTCAATGCTTGTTTTGGATATTTTGAGTATGTCGGCTATCTCCCACGTGGTATAACGTTGATTGTTCCCAGTTAATGTCTCTTTTTAATCGCTTAACTTCAACTGGCCTGCCTGACCAGGGAGCATCGTCCAGTGAGAAATCTCCAGCACGAAACATCTCAAACCACTTTTGACATGTTCGATCAATCACAGCGCCTTCTTCACACACTGCACAAATCTTTTTTTTTGCATTTCGGTTGCGTTTTTACCTTTCTTAAAATAATAAAGCATAACATGCCAAAAATGTTGCTTTTTTTCCTTCCATCTTCAGTATTAAAATGACTACACAAACCTTCACCAATTTTCATAAGTCTTTTTTTTTAAATGCCCCCTGATATGACAGCTGTCACATACAATCTAACAAAATTGTTTCAAATGGAGTTAAAGACAACTATGCGCTACTAGAGCCATCTTAGGGAAAAAACTGAATGAACCTTTTGGCCCACCCAGTATCTTGGTGGAGTAGGGGGAATTAGTCTCATGGATTGCCATTGTACTAAGAGTAAATCATACAACCTCTGTGGAGGGAAATTGGCAGTAGTTATCAAATTTACAGATGCACGCGTTCCTTTTGACCTGACAGTTTCCTTCTAGATAGTTTCCTATACTCTCGCAAGGGCAACTTTGTACAAGATTACTTACTGTAACAATATTTGTAAAACAAAAGGCTGGAAATAGTCTAAATGTCCATTGATAGGTAACTACTTAAACACATTATAATAATCCATGCAGTGTCCAGCTAAAAAAATCACAAGGAAGCTCTTTATCTACTGATATGGAATGATTTATAAAGTATGTAAAGTGATAAAGGCAGGGGCCAGAAATCTATATTGTGCTACCATTTGTTTAAGAAGGAAGATGTATTTATTTGCTTTACAGGTATAAGATATTTTTGCACAGATACACTAGAAATTCCTAATGTTATTTGCCTCTGAGGAGAGAATCTTGGTGACTAGGAGCAAGAGTGGGTGGGAAACTTTAAGTCATCCAAGTAGTAAGTGATAGAGCTGGAGTTTTTAATCTAGGTCTTTTGGATTCCAGAGTAGATGTATTTCCCCTCCCGCTTCTACAAATAAAAACCTTTTATAAAGGCTTTGAAAATTTTGAAAGCCTATTTCCTGTTAATCAGATATTCAAATCTCTCATACAATTCATAAGCATCATATATTTGTATGGTTTTCTTTTAAAGTGTAGTACTTTGAGAACTTTAGAAACTTGAAATGAACTGCTGCCTAGGATTTTATCTTTTTAAAGCTCCAAACTAGTGGTCATTTGCCAGCTTAGATCATCCAGTTTGCCTATAACTGTATTAATTTTTTGGAGGAGGATAACGGGGAAACAGCTTTTGTCTCTTACAGAAACTTTTCTTTCTTTCTTTTCTTTTAAGGTTTCCATGGGTGAACTACGAAGATAGCAATCTCAACATTTCAATTCCTGTGTTTAGTATTCATGGCAATCATGATGATCCTACGGGGGTAATTATTGGGTTCTTAGTTTGTTGAAATTTTAGAAACGATCAGTTTAGTTTGTCTTTGGAAAGCATTCTTTCACTTCTTCCCAGCAATTTGTAGTCAAATTGAGTCAAAAGTTCAAATTGACATTTTATCATTCATAGAAGCTTTTATACTGCTTTTCTGATAATTTTTAAAAATCTGGAATAATAAATGGCATGTGACATACACATTTATTTCATAAGTGCCAAGGTTAACAATAAGTAACCAGGAGGAGGAATAAACACCTAACATTTGTATAACGCTTTACAGTTTACCAAGGGCTTTTGTATCTCTTATCACATAAATCTCACCTGTAGGAAATGAGGGTTTCATGAACAGTTTTAAATCTAAATTAGAACATCTTATTTTCTGTTTGATATGAAAGTACAGACCGTCCCTAGTTTATGAGGGTTCGACCTTAGATTTTTCAACTCTACAGTGGTGCGAAATGGATATACATTCAGTAGAAGTTGCACTTTGAAGTTTGAATTTTGAGTATCTTTTTTGGGCTAACGATACGTGGGAAGATACTTTCGTGTGATGCTGGGCAAAGGCAGCGAGGCACAGCTCCAGATCAGCCACAAGGTCACGAGGGTAAACAGCTGCTACACTTACAGCCATTCTGTACTCATACAGCCATCCTGTTTTTCACTTACAGTACATTATTCAGTATATTACACAAGATACTCCATACTTTATTGTAAAAGTATTTATACCTTTGCCCAACTGTAGGCTAATGTACGTGTTCTGCACATGTTTAAAGTAAGCTAGGCCAAGCTATAATTTTCGGTAGGTTAGGTGCTTTAACTGCATTTTTGACTTAACGGTATTTTCAGTTCACAATGGATTTATTGGGACCTAAACCCATTGTAAGTCGAGGAAGATCTTTAATAATAGGGCTCCTAAAATAATCTCAAAATACCTTTTTGTTTTATCTGGTCATTAATGTATTATAAATCACTACTTAGCTAGTCTTTTTTTTCTCACCTCTTAAGAGGTCTGCTTAATATGACAAGGCACTGATTTCATGGCTGTTTTTCATTTTTTAGTGGACAAGACATCATAAGTTTTGATGAAATGTTAACTTTGCATTTAGCATGTGATTCCAGTCGCAGTGGGTCACTTGTAATAGAAAAAGGATAGCGAATACTTTTACTATTGTAATTTTGTTTTGAGAAGACATTATCCTAATCTAGGTTTTTGTAACTACTATATAAAATATACTTTTAATAAGTAATAAATGATATGCAGATTACTTATTTTTAGATATACATTTATATTATTTGAAAATATTGTCCATAGGCAGACTCGCTCTGCGCCCTGGATATTTTAAGTTGTGCTGGATTTGTAAATCACTTTGGACGTTCAATGTCTGTGGAGAAGATAGACATTAGTCCGGTTTTGCTTCAAAAAGGAAGCACAAAAATTGCTCTATATGGCTTAGGTAAGATGGTTTTATTTTACTATTTATGTCAATAAATGTTTAAATGTTTAAGCAGCTAGGAAATCAAATTCTGGAGTTAACTTTGCTGCTGTTTGGGGAAAAGTGAGGCAAATCTAATTATTCCTTATGGGTGACTTAAAAAAATGATAGAAGGTTTTGGTAGAAATTTTTTTAGTATTTTATAAGCACCAATAGTCCTTGATACTTATTTTTAATAGCAGTTTTGGTGAAAAAATATTTTTCCTTTAGTATCTATTTATTGTTTATTTTTTCTTTTAGACCCAGATAAAAATCCTGAACATTAGCATTTATCGAGTAATTAGAAAAACTGCATTTTGATATCTTGGAAGTCTTTGAAAGTTCTAAAGTTTCACTGCCCAATACAGTAATCATGTAGATACTGGGCACTTGAAATGTGGCTAGTCTGAATTGAGATATGCTGTAAGTATAAAATACACATCAGAGTTCAAAGACTTAGAAAAAAATGTAAAATACCTTTGGTATTTTGGGTTAAATAAAATATCTTAAAATTAATTTCACCTGTTTCTTTTACTTGTTTTAATATGGCTACTAAAAAATTTAAAATTACGTATTTAGCCTGTTTTAGTAGCTCACATGATATTTTTATTAGTGCTAATCTAGAGCTATCATTTACAATGCTCAGAAAATTTCCTTTTCAGCTTCACTATCTTCAACTTATTTAGTGTCCAGTAGGTAAAAGCTTGTTTTTGCTAGGCTTTATTCCATATGAATGGAAAACTATTTTTAGAGTGCATTCAAAGGCTATATTTTGTGTTTTCCTTGGATTAAGTTCAGTTTGATTTGTTTTATGGATGCAATAGTTTTATTGATTTTGTAGTGTATAGAGTATTATAAAAATTATACTTCATGTTAAACCAACCTTAAAGTACCGCAAGAGAAATTGAGAAAAAATTTCACACTGTAGCTTCTACATAGTTTTTATTATTTTTTGAGTGACTAGTATAATAGAAGCCTTAGAAAATCTTATTTACTTCTTTTCTCTTTGTGTATGTTTTTTAAAGAATAATTATGATGGATGGTTTATTTAAATACTTTCTCTAGGAAGCTTATAGTCTTTGCCCAATTTTCATAATTTCGCCAACAAGTAGAAAAGCATCGTGGTTATCTATATTTTAGAGATGTGGAAAATGCGATCAAGGAATTATGTCTGATTTTGCAAGTGATAGAGCAGGAAGTGGAATATGCTTTTTTTAAAAACTACTAACAGGTATTTTAATCACTGTAACGTTAGGGATCATATCTGCAGAAAATGTTTGATCCTCCTACTTTCAGACTAAGGACAGATCCCATTATGCCTCAGTCACTGCCAGAAGCAAACTGCTTCAGACATCCATTTTCTCCCAAACTCTCATCTCATCCTGTTCTGTTTTCCTTAACTGGACTGTCTCTACCCTCCACCCACTCCTCTCACCCCAGCTCTGTATACTCTAGAGCTCTTTTTAGTTAGCAAATTCCCTCATTTCATCAGTCTCTAAATGCTGCCTGTACTCTCTAACCCTCAGTGAAACTGAGTGGCCCCTGAGGTTACTGTGTCCCACGAAGTTCTCTCGTGGCCTCTTATGGGCTTTAGGGCAGAAGGGGTGGAGGGCAAGTCACTGTTCTCCTTGCTTCCTTTCCTGCCTGCAAACACCCTTGAAGCTAATTGCCAACTGGCTAAACTGCCTTCTCCATTCCCTCAATTTTCTTACTTGCCTACCTTCCAATTTTGTCAGTGTTCTCAGTGCTTTGACACCCAAGTAGGTCAACCTTCTAATGCCCTGGATTTTTTTATGTCTTGGCTTTTTTGTTCCAGTTATATGTTCTGCATGCCACCATCTATTTCATTGGCCACACTAGGAATTCTTTTTAGAAGCTAGACCTCTTCTAGCTCTTGTACTTATGTGGTGTTGGCCTTTCTTCCCAGCCCTTCCCTAATCACTCCATAAAGTAGCAACCTTGTCCTCCCAGTGATAATCCCCATCTTAGCATCCTGACTTTTTTCCCTTTTATAATATTTAAAATTCAAATTTTCATGTTTAATTGTTTTTGTTGGCCTCCTTCACTAGACTAAGGTGATCCTTTGGGGAATAGGAAGAGTTATTTAAAAGTCATTAAATTATTAAAAAGCACAGTATTTTTATTTAAAAGCATAATATACATAAGATGACTATTTTTAAATACATTTTTAATCTCATCCCCTGTAATATCTCTTCCTGTGTATTTTACAATGTATATGTTAAATCAAAAGTACATATATACTTAGAACAAATAAAGGGAGAGTGGAAAACAATATTATTAGAAATTTTAATAAGAATTTGAGCATAGAAAACTCAAATTTTTATTCCACATTTTCCAGATCTTGAAAGTATATATGCTTGACCTGGAAAACATTCTTCAAATGCAACTAACTGCTTAGCAGCTGTCAGGCATGAGCCTGGAACATGTTCATTTGTAAATAATGATATCAGATTTCAAATATCTCTCTAATAGGAAAATGAAGTACTCAGAGAAGCACATAATTTAGAAGCAAAACATATTCGTTTTTTAAAACCGAGTAAGAAACCACTTTTAAAATAATGTAATATCCATTTCAGGATCCATTCCAGATGAAAGGCTCTACCGAATGTTCGTCAACAAAAAAGTAACAATGTTGAGACCAAAAGAAGATGGGAACTCTTGGTTTAACTTATTTGTGATTCATCAGAACAGGTAAAAGTAGTCTCTGAAAATTTTTGAGTCAAGTATTGACTCAAAATGTCTGTTTCCAAGCTTACCTATTTCAGTAAAATGCTCCTGATGCTTTGAAAGTTGTCAGTGCAGGATCAGGCAAGACTTCGATACGCGTTGTGTGACTGCATCTTGAAATTGTTTTCAGTATATATTCATACTTACAAAGAATATTTCTAGCATATGGATAAGAAGAACCATAAAATGAATAATCCTAAATTCAGAAAGAAGTGGAACATTACGAGTACCCTACCGCATGCCCTTCCCTGACCACACCTTTTTCCACAAACTCCAGAGGAAGCACTGTCTTCAATTTTTATTTCATCTGTCCATAGCTTTTCTTTATTGTTTAATCACATACACATCCATTATGAGTATTTTTTATTTAGTTTTGGTATAACTGGAACACCATACTTTATATTTTGCAGTTGGCTTATCTTCTTCAACGTTATGTTACTAAGATTCATCCATTTTGATGCTTAAAAGGGTAATTCATTTTCGTTGATGTATACAGTTCAGCTTTCTCTCCTCTTAGTGAGTGTTTTGTGTTTTGTGTTATTTCCAGATTTTTGCTTTTTTAAACCTTCTTGTTAGGAACATTCTTATAGATTTTTCCTGGTACATATATACAAGTGTTTCTCCAGAATATTAAATAGATCAACTATTTGATCAACTATAGATCAACTAGATCAACTTTCTTTTGTTAGTAGTTTTAAGAAATTTAATCTGTTGGTGGGGTGTAGGTTTGATTGAAAGGAATAGAGATTTGAAGAAGCAAGATTTATTATGTGATCATTATAGTAAAAAAAAGTGTGAGATGGTAACAGTGATGGTAGTGAGAATGATATGTAAGGGACAAAGCTGAGAAGTTACTAAGGAAGAATCTAAAGGGATTTGGGGCCTGATTATATAATTTATTATTTATTGAAGAGATATCTATTGACAGCACAATACTCTGGTGCTTACCCATCACTGGTACTAAGTGAAAGAAAGGCTTTAGGGGGCAATCTTATGTTGCCTTATGTATATTCTTCAATAAACAGTGTGAGTTAAAGGAGGAGCAGTCCAGAGTTTTGATATGTGTGGTCTCCATATAACAAACTGGGAGTTTGTTCCTTCTCTTGCTGAGGGCTTTCCAGTTCTGCTACACTTTGTACTTTCCCAAGGTAGGGATAAGTCAGAAGGAACAATTATCAGCGATTCCAAGCCAGAATGAAAGTTTGGAATGGCAGCACTGGTAAGGGGAATGGGTAGTATAATGTTGGTATGGCTGGTTACTGGTGATGTTAATAATCTTGATCATTCAATTAAGGTGGTGTAGACCAGGTTTCTCCCCTGTAGAGGTCCCATTTTCTACTTTGTAATTAATAAATATTGGGGGAAAAATACATTGAGACTATGTGAACATCCTGTTTCAACTTAAACTTTTGCCCACAAATTTTAGCATCCATTGGTGGATCTTGTTTCCAGCAATTAATACTGTGGTGTTGTTTCTGATTTTTTTTTCCCCTCATTCTTTTTATAATTATTAATTGAAATTCTTCTGTTAGGAAAATTTGTCCCTTCTCATTTATTTACTTATTCATTCATTTATTTATGTTACTGTGGACTCAAGGATGTTTATTTAATTCTTTGAGTTATAATCCAATCCTTTAATTTTTTGATGTTGTTTTTGTTGCTCAGGTTGTTTCAACTCTGACCATTGGGAGCTTTTTTACATTGGCTTCTATGTCCTTTCAACATGCCCTCTTCCTTTTTGTTTTTTGAGCATGTCCTTAACCTTCTAGTACCACAAGATGCTCCTGGCTCATCTTGTATTTTTCTCCTCAAGCCCTGGAATCAACCACTTCTCCAAGGAGCCCTAATTGCTTTTATTGGAGAGTGGTATTTTGAAACCCAGATATGGCCGCTAAATGTGCTTATTGCTACTGTGGGTCTCTTAGCCCTCATGACTAGAGTTAAAGAAATATATGTATATTCACTAATCCATGCATACATGTCTGTATGTATACATGTGCTAAAAAAAAAAACAAACAAGCACGAGTTCATACTGATTCGAATCCAGCCCTACAGGATTCATTTTTGTCTTTTCTTATTTGTGACTTCTTTCTCTAACAGTTAGAAACCTCGATTGTATTATCTACGGTATGTTTACTTTTTTTTTTTCAATACTGGTTGACATAACAAAGTAATTTCAAAATTGCTGACCCATAGCCCTGTGAGAAACAAATTTGCCAGCTAGGGTACAGTGCTTGTATGTTATTTTAGTCCTTAGCCTTACTATATCTAGTCAAAAACACCACTTTCTAAAGTTACTTCGGTCAGTTCCTTTTCCCTTACCCCTTCATTGTGGTTATAATAGTTTTTTTTGTAATGCTGTTAGGTTCATTTGTCATCCTCTGCATTCTTAGGTACTTCTTTTGTTACTGTTTTCAGGGTCTTATAAAAAACAGGTTTTCTCATATTAAGCGAGAATTCTTGAGCCTTTTACATTTTACTTTATTTTCCATTTGTTTCTATATGTGGACCAGTTTCTTTCTCTTGCAGCAAAAGAAGGTAAACCCAGAGCAATTTTGTCATGCAAAATATTTCCACAAAGATGTTTTGATCAGCTTCTAGGTCACAAATCAGAGTCAGCCCACCAGCATAATCTTCCCTTTACCAGTGCTCCATTAAAGCATAGTTACATCATGTCGTATTTGAGTTATTCTGCATTTCTTCAGTAATTGTGATAGGATCATAACATTTTTTACATAAAAATGTTTTTTACATAAATATTCCTAGATACATGAGCTTCTCTGATTTCACTCCCTGCTCTTCCTTGCATTCATTCTGCTTAGCCACGCTGGTCTCCTTGCTGTTCTTGAACTCACTGAATACATTCCCATGTCAGCACCTCTGCCATCAGCTCATCCCTCTGCCTAGGACTTTCTTCCCATGCACACCTGATCCCTCCTCTAAGTTCTCTGCTCATTTGTCTCCTGTCAGAGATGCCTTCCCTGACCACCCTTTGTATAGTAGCCTCCCTTTTCCATGTAATTTTTCCCTTTATTTTTCTTTATAGCACCTGTCACTACCTGACAAATTTTATATATATATATATGTGTGTGTGTGTGTGTGTGTGTGTATGTATGTGTGTGCATGTGTGTGTGTATGCAGATACGTAAACATATTGTATTATTGCTAATTTCCCCCACAATGAGCAAGGACTTTGTTCATTGCTATGTCTTCAGTATCTAGAAGAGACCTGGGAAACCTGACACATAGTAGACACACAGTAAATATTTGTTCAATGCATGAATGTCAGTTTGCCTTAAGTGAATGCTGGTTGAAGTATTTGAACACTTTTACTTAAATTCTCAGTGATATAAATCAGTATTAGGGAAAACTTTTTTTGTCTTCCTCTCTTTGGGTTTTCACATATCTTAATAATAGCAGCTAATCTAGGTATAAAATGAGAGTTTGAAAATCACATATTCATACAATATTTTATTTATATTGAAAACTTATCTCTGTAAGACTGACATTCTCATTTTTATAGTCAGTAAAAGAAACATGTTATTAAAAAAATGATGGAACATATTTAGAGTTTTGACTTTATTTTACAAAGCTTAGACTTAACTCACTTCCCATTTTCTATACTCTGGTATACACTCAGACCAATTTATAGGTTTTTACTATTTTTAGAGCTCATGCTTTTCTGACTTTCCCATAGGGGGAGTTATTCCTCTCTAAAGCCTTTCGTGATCTGCCTCTGTATGTAGAATTGACTGCTTTCTCCTTTGAGGCTTCTACTTGTCTGTGTCCTGCAAGTTTGTAAACCCTTTGAGGGCAGGAATTAGATACTGTCTTTGCATCCCCAATCCCTTGAAAGTTTCTGGCATATAGAAGGGATGTAATAAATCTTTAGTTAATGGAGAAAGAAAGATCTATACAGACTTACTTATTATGAAGTTTTTCTGTATCTCTGGACATTTATAATATTTATTTTTAAAAATCTTGGCATAGGAGTAAACACGGAAGTACTAACTTCATTCCAGAACAGTTTTTGGATGACTTCATTGATCTTGTTATCTGGGGCCATGAACATGAGTGTAAAATAGCTCCAACCAAAAATGAACAACAGCTCTTTTACGTATCACAGCCTGGAAGCTCAGTGGTCACTTCTCTTTCCCCAGGAGAAGCTGTAAAGAAGTGAGTAATTATTATAGTTTTTAAATCAATTTAAGAAAAATTTGCTATGATAGTCTAACCATCTCATAGGCTCAAGGTACTGATGATGCTGTTATTTATTTGATAGATTTATTCGTAAAGATTGATCATTCAATACAGTCTTACTGTTTGCCCAGATTTTAAGCTGTTTTCAACAGGAGAAGATCCCAATGGTATTAATGATTTTGCTGCTCATTAGGCCAATTCAAGACTAATGTTTTTATTAATTAAATTTTAAGTTAAAGTGCTGTAGGAAAAATGATGTATGAATGGATTTTATTTTGGGGAAGAAGAATGTTTAAGTTTTTTCCTGGGATACAACATTAAGATTAAATTACTAAAAACACTTTTGAAGGGTGTGATTTTATAAATAATTTGTAGAAATTTAGAAATATGATAGTTTTGATGTGCACATTTTCCTGAGGAAGTTTGCAATGTGACTATGCTTTCATTCCCCTCCTCATTTCAGACACGTTGGTTTGCTGCGTATTAAAGGAAGGAAGATGAACATGCAGAAAATTCCTCTCCACACAGTGCGGCAGTTTTTCATGGAGGATGTCGTTCTGGCTGATCATCCAGATGTTTTTAACCCCGATAATCCTAAAGTAACCCAAGCCATACAAAGCTTCTGCTTGGAGAAGGTAATTCTTATAGATAAAGGTCAGTGAGATCTGCTTTAGTTGAGAGGTAAATACTTCAGTGGAGTAGAGGGAAGTCATTATATTTGTTACATTCTCATGAAGCCTGTAAGGAACCACTGTTGTTTTATAAATGAGTTCAGTTGTATCAGATTTATAATAGGGACTTCCCTGGCAGTCCAGTGGTTAAGACTCTGCCTTCCAGGACAGGGGGAGCAGGTTCGATCCCTGGTCAGGGAGCTGAGATTCCCACATCCCTGGTGGCCAAAAAACCAAAAACATAGAACAGAAGCGATATTGTAGCAAATTCAATAAAGACTTTAAGGATGGTCCACATCAAAAAAAAATATTCCAGAGGGAGGAATGTTATAAATAGAAGAAACTTTGTTTAATTAAGCCCCTCTCCCAGATCCTTTCCTCCTTCTCAAAAACATATACGTAATCTTTTCTCTCTTTTTATCCTAATTTGATAATTTGTTCATTTTATTAATGAAAGCAGGCAGTGGCTTTGATTGGAGAATGGCAGGATGTTATGGTAGATGAGGAGAGCCTTAGCCTCTCTAATAATCTCCATTACGCTAATAATCTCTATCACACATCCCTTTCACCCTGAAATCTCCCTCCAAATAAAATCTTAAAATGTGTGCTATGCACCTTGTCACTTCAGTGTAAGTCCCATACCTCCCACCATGCAGATTGCCATCCCTAAACCACTGCGGAAATTCTAGAGCCACTATGAAGTTGGGTGAATGCATTTAATAATATGGAACTTGACAGCTTAATAACATTAATTACTGACACTTATTCAGTTCTTACGCTGTGTAGGCTCTTCTGCTTTGCGTTTTATTCTTATAAAAATCATGATAATGATAATTATCACTGATATTCATTGGCGGCGTATATATTCTGGACACTGTTGACAACATTTTGCATTTAATCCACTGAATAATGCTATAGGTAGGTAGAGTCTACCATACACATTTTATAGAAAGAGGAGCTGAACCTTAGATAAAGTAACTCGCCCAGTGTCACGGCTTACTAGCAACATGTAACTCATATAACTGGAAAGTTTAAGAGTTTGCTGGTTTCAGAATGACTAGATCCAGAAACTCAAATTAAGACTGTAGTTTTCTCTGTTTCTGTGTCCAGTTCTGTGCCACCTAGTCTGATGGTTTCTGTCTTAAGCTTCGCTATAAGGAAGGCATTTTCACTTGGTGGCCCACAGACTTACATTGTCCTTACAGCTGAAAGAATCCTTTTTTCCCAGTAGTTCCAAATAAACCCCTAGCATTGAGTTTCTCTGGACTGAGGTCATGTACTTGTCCCTGAACCCAATCTCTGAGGCCAGGGAGAAGGAAAATGAATGGATTTGTCTTGGCCTAGTCAGGGAGCCCGGGGTCTCTCAATCTTGGCACAATTGACATTTTACTGGGTAACACTTTGTTGTGGGAGCTTGTTCTGTGCATGGTAGGATTTTTACAAGTCCTCTCTGACCTCAACCACTAGATGCCAGCCGGTAGTACCTCTTCCCCCTAGACATGACAATATCTTTATTTTGAGATTGAAGAAATGCTTGAAAATGCAGAACGGGAACGTCTGGGAAATTCTCGACAGCCAGAGAAGCCTCTTATACGACTGCGAGTAAGTCCTCTTCAGATAAATTCAACTTTATTGATTTTCAGAGGAGAGTATTGTACAGTTTACATGGATATTTTGGGAAAAGTACCAAAGAGAGTACGTATACTAAAAAGAGCAGTCATCGTTGGTGGAAAAAATAATAAAGCAGCCAGGATTTGATTTAATCATAGTTTCGTTTTGATAGGTTTGGGTTTTTTTTCTCTCTATTTTTCTCTTTTTCTAAGTAGTCTATTGTATTTGATACGTTGGCTGTGCTCTCTGACTTCATCGTTTACTGTTCCCTTCTCTCCCTCCCTTCCAGACACTTGGCCTTCTTGTAATTCCTCAGATGCATCAGACATGCTCTCACCTCCTCCAGATCTGCTCAGATGTCACCTCAGTGGGCCCCAGCCTAATTAAGATTGCAACCCCCATACTCTCTCTCCAACACTCCTGATTTCACTTCCCTTCTCTACTTTTTCTTTTCTTTTCTTCCCACAACACATCCTCCTAACCTACTACACCCAATTTATTTATTTTGGTTATTGTTTGTCCTTCATTACAAAACTGTCAGCTCTGTAGAAGCATGGAACTTTGTGAATCTTCTTAACTAATATATCCAAAGATCCCAGAACAGTTCCTGACACATAACAAGTGCTTGATAAATATGTGGAAAGAATTGATAAGTATTTGACAGTATTAGAAAAGTCTAAGAAATTGAAGTGTTTCCTGTGCCTATATGCCTGCTTATCTTTTCTATCATGATACATACAAACAAACAAATAACAACAGACTTTTTTTTTTGCCCCTCTGCCTTTCCCTTCTCCTAGCTCCTGCCCTTTCTGATTTTCTTTCAAAAAAATACATTGTCTATATTGCTCATGTAATACTCTCTTCCTCAATCCACTATAATCAAGGCTCTGACCCCACCATCTAAGGTGGAAAAGATGACCTTCAGTTGTCAAATTCAGTAGATTTTTGTCATCTTACTGAATCACTCTTCGGCATTCTCTACTACGAATGATGTTTGTCCCTTCCTATCTTTCAGTTAGCCCTCTGTTCAGTCTAGGCATATGGTCACCTATAGAATGACAACTCCCAAATTTTTTTTTTTTTCTTTGCGGTACGCGGGCCTCTCACTGTTGTGGCCTCTCCCGTTGCGGAGCACAGGCTCTGGACGCACAGGCTCAGCGGCCATGGCTCACAGGCCTAGCCGCTCCGCGGCATGTGGGATCTTCCCGGACCGGGGCACGAACCCGTGTCCCCTGCATCGGCAGGCGGACTCTCAACCACTGCGCCACCAGGGAAGCCCCCAAAAGAAGCCTTTCTTGACTTCCCTTCAGAGTCGTTGCTTCTTCCTTTGTGTCCTCAGTCTACTTTGTACATACTTTTTTTTTTTTTTTTGAGTTTGCCAAGAAAGAGAATGGCTTTATTACATCTCACTATCAGAAGATGTAATAAAATGTTATATATACGTATATATGTAATAATGTTTTATTAAATATTTTTTTAAGTTTTTTTTTTTTGGCTGCACTGCACGGTGTACATACTCTTACAGCACCATCACATTCTGCTTGCAATTACTTCTTTACATAGTTTATCTTCCCAGTCAGCTTGTGAATTTCTTCACCCCTGGCCCTTACCCCTGGCCCTTAAAAGAGTGCCTGCACATTGTGGACACTCAGTAAAGTTTGCTTAGTGAACGAGCTTTGCGACTTTTAGGAACAGAAAATTACAAATAAAACTAGGCTGGAGTACAGTTTTTAAAAATGTCTGAAGAGTTTTGGGGAGGCCCAATAGCTTGAGCATTTGGCATTTTCTGTTTTAGAACATGGCAGCAGCTGTAGAGATGGTCTGGGTAACAGAAACATAGTTGCTTCGGGGGAACCACATAGTTCTCTTTATCAGGGCAGAAGGTCCCAGGTTCCTCATCTGTGTCTGCCTGATACCATTAGAACCAACCAGACTTGAATTGAAAATTGACATTCCTTTTTCTAAACACACTAAATTATTAATTCATTAAGGAAACAAAAGAACAAATATTTTCACGTAAGTAGTATTCCAGAAGTACATTGTGTTGGCTAGAGGACGCTTACTGATTCACTAATGCAGTGAGCAAATGTATGTTGAGTACCTTCTTTCTGCATGCTGGTGGGCGGGGAGGAGGGCCACAGTGATGGTAAAATAGACGAGGGTTACAGGAGGCGGAGGTGTGAGGAGAGACAATCAACAAATAGTGAATACATGAACAAACTCTTAGCTAGTGCTAAGTGTGATGAAGAGGGTAAGTGGGGTGGAGGTTAGGAGTAATCTGGAAAGGCTGGTGATGTGTTACGATGCTGATTCCCAGAGCATACTTTGAGAACAGCTAGTTTAGGAGAACAATTATATCTCTTAGAAAGAGATGTAGTATTTTTCTTTGTAAAGAGCTTGGTACCACCATAGACTTCTTTAGAAAGAGCCTGCCTTGAGAGCAATTATTAGTTCTTTTGTAAATAGAAACAGTTGGCCCTCTGTACCTGCACTTCTGCATCCACGGAGATGGAGGGCTGATTGAACTCCGCCATTTTATGTAAGGGACTTGAGCATCCACAGATTTTGGTGTTCTTAGGGATCCTGGAACCAATCCCCCGTGAATACCGAGGGATGACTGTACTGTGTTTTGAAGGAAGGTGATCATTTCTCAAAGCTCACAGACTAGCTTCTTTTCTTCCATGGATTTTCCCAGCATTTATTTTTGTCTAGTGTAAAAGCTTATCCCTACATGATAGACCAATTAACAAATGCATCTAGGGCCAGCATTTTGTTTTGGTAGAGAATCTCCTTCTGTTTTAAAAGTTTAAAAAAATTTGTTTAGAAATTTCACATCCTTTTCAGATGATATTCCTGGTACCTAGACTGCTGGTTTTATCATGGGGAGATGTAATTTTCTGACACTGTGGGAATTCTTATTGTATCTTGATTCCATCAAACAATGTTCTGCATAAGTGTAAACCTTTGAAGTTTTATTTTCTCAGTAGAATAAATGGTATAACATCATCATGATCTTTAAAATGAATTGTGGAACGTTAACATATTAACTTAAAAGTATTACACATAAACATGAATACTGAAATTGGTGATCTGTTTTTTCGTAGCCTTCATAGCTTATTCTGTATTTCCAGGTGGACTATAGTGGAGGCTTTGAACCGTTCAGTGCTCTTCGCTTTAGCCAGAAATTTGTGGACCGGGTAGCTAATCCAAAAGATGTTATCCATTTTTTCAGGCGTAGAGAACAAAAGGAAGACACGGGTAAGCTAGTTATCTTTACAAATTAAAAAATGCTCTTATAGGCTTCACATAAATCAATCTCTAGTAAAAGTATAAAACAATAATGGAAAATGTTTTATTATGATTCTTTCTAATATCTCAGACAAATAAACTGATAATTGGAATAACTAAATCTCTTCTAAAAATTAGATAGAAATCATTTGTAAACTTGTGGATATCAATACAGAAATGAAGCCTTTCGTAGTTTTTTTAAGACGTGCTGCTGATTGACAACATACTTTAGAGAGAAAGCGTTTAAATACCTACTATTTACTATACATTATTAATGTTCAGAGAACATACTCTCAAATTTTGCAGGGCTAAATATTTCAGCTTTACAGTGTACAGTGATTTAAGAAGACTCCACTCTTTTGAAATAAGAGGTGTCCCAGAATGTTAAAAAGATATGTACTTAAGGACTTAAGTTTGATGTTTCTATTGATCAGATAATTAATTTCCAATTAAAGTTCAAAAAAACAAATTGCCCTTATTTTAGCATTTATCAAAAACAGGTCATCTGACTGAAGCAGTGCTTCTTCTTAAGAAGTATTGGTCCTTTTAAATACAGAGGCTCATCTCCTTAGAGCTATCGAGTCAGAATTTTCATAGAAAAATATGGCTCTTGTTTACATGTACGCTACCTTGATTTTTATTAACCCCGATTTAATGAGCTTCTGTTTTTCATAGTGAAATTGTGATCACAATGGTGTGTGCTGTTAATTCAGCCTGAAACAGTCATTTGGATATTTAAATGGAGCTCATAGAATACTGTTTTAGGGGGGGAAAATCCATATCAGAGAATGATATTTTTATGCTATGAATTTTAGCTAGTTACTTACTGATGGTGATTTACTTTAATTGTCCATCCTTATCAATTCCTTGAATTTTTTGGGTGTAGCATTTGTGAGAATGTGGAGTATAGAACCTAGTACTTTATGTTACTTGAGTTTCATCCATTGTCAGTTTTGTTCTCATGATCCCTTTTTTGTTTAAACATTAATTGCTGAATGGAAACAGTGACCTTTTGTATATCTTATGAAAGCATGAAATTGTTTGTTGTTTTGGCCAGCTCTGCTACTTTAACTACATGTGTGACATCATGCAAATTACTTAATCTCTGATGTTTTGTTTTCTTGCCTACAAAATCAGGATAACTGTGCCTGCCTCAACAGGATTGTTGTGAGGGTTAGATGATATACTGTGTGTAAATGGTCTTAACATAGTGTCTGGCGTAGTAAAATATAGTAACCGTATTTATGAAGCAATATTAGTTCTCCTGTCTTGAAATTCAAAAAAGATTTCTATTCACTTGTCCTCACCACTTTGTAAGAGGCACACTGAACTTTGTGCCTCTTTACCCCCTTAGCCATTGCATAAACTTTTCCCTCTGCCTAAAATACTTTTTCTTTTTCCTTTTTTGCTTAGTAATTCTTATTCATTCTGCAAGTCTTTTTTTTTTTTTTTAATTTATTTGTTTTTATTTTTGGCTGTGCCAGGTCTTAGTCATGGCACGTGGGGTCTTTGTTGCAGCATGCAGGATCTTCAGTTGCGGCATGCGGACTTCTTAGTTGCAGTGCAAGTCTTGAGTCAAATGATAACTGCGTTTGCTATCTGCATGTTATTTTCAGCCTTCTTTGAGAAGAATTAATTTATTTCTTCTCTGTGTGTCATATTTTCTGTTCTTACCTCTGTTGTAGCACTTACCATCTTGTATTGTAATCATTTGCTATTATGGGCGGCATCCTGTCATTTTATCATTGTGTTTTCCACACCAGGTCACACACGTGCTAGACAGTTAATATTCATTTCCCTGACAAAGGTTATGAGCAGAGCACCTACTGGACCCTATGCTTTTTGACTTCTTGCCCAGTATTCTTTTTATTCCGTACCTGCTGTTTTTTGAGACAACCATCCTGCCTAGGAATGAAGCAAATGTGCTTTAAACCTACTTCCCATTTGTCTCACAGAATATTAAAAAGATTTGTGTTTAATGGCCAAGATTTAATTAAATTAATAATTTTTTCTGTTTCATCAAGGACTTTCTTATGTGAAACTGGCTTTTTGTTTTGTCTTGTTTTGAACTGTGAGTACAAAGTGATGACTCTCAGTAGAGCTCAGAGACACTGCCTTGACTCATCCCAAGGAACCGGCAGTTTTACCCACGACTGCTTTTGTATCATCGGTGCAAATGTCAATACGGTGGAAGAGATAAATAACGTCTTAGTATTATTATGAAAGTACGTTTGACCTTAAGCCCCCTGAACCAGTATGGGGGACTCCCAGAGATCTGTGGACCACTCTGTGAGAATAGCTCCAAGAGACATACTACTTGGAGATTTGGAAAAGAAATACAGACTTTGGGGAAATGACTCTAGATATTAGCAAAAATGACATGTTTTTGCCTCAGAATTTCCTGGGTTGAGCAAACTGACAGTTGATAAAGTTTGGCCATACCTCCTTCACTGACAGCAACCTTCAGTGAGTTTGGGCACTTTAACATTAAAAGAGAAACTGCTACTTTTTTTTTTTCATGGAATTCTTTTTTCTAGGAGAAGAGATCAACTTTGGGAAGTTCATCACAAAACCTTCAGAAGTAACAACTCTAAGGGTAGAAGACCTTGTGAAACAGTATTTTCAAACCGCAGAGAAGGTAATTTCTTAGTTACAGTTCTCAGTTTAGATAATGGCTATCTTATAATAACAGATTTTAATTTAAGATATGTGTAATTGTTAGTTTAAACAAAATGAATCCTCAGAATGTCTCCATGAAGTAAGCAGGGTGACAACTACATTCATTTATAGTTATTACGTATCAAGAAAAATAAGTGCTTAATTAATGTCAGTCATTAATATTGTTATTATTGTGTCTATTATTGTCAATGTTGTTATCCTCTTTCTTTTTATCGCTACTACCTAAGTCTGAATCCAGGATTTAATTTTCTTGCATCTGGATGTAATTTCAGAGTTACTTTATTAATAAGCCACTGGATGGTGAAGCTATTCTTATTTTTGTGGGTATATGCCACTTTGAGATCCTCTGGTTGTATTAGCTTCCTATAGCTGCTGGAATAAATGTCCACAAACTTAGTGGTTTAAAACAACACAGGTTTATTACCTTACAGTTTTGTAGGTCAGAAACCAGACACTGGTCTCACTGGACAAAAACTTGGTTTTTGCTGGAGGTGTTGTCAAGGCTGTGTTCCTTTCTGGAAGCTGTAGGGAAGATTCCATTTCCTCATCTTCTCCAGCTTCTGGAGGTAGCCGTGTTTCTTGGCTCCGGGCCCCCTTCTTCCATCTTCAAAGCAAGCAACGCTGGATCTGTCTGGCCGTCATTGCCCCGGATACTTCTCTGTGACTCCCTTCGGCCTCCCTCTTCTATTTTCAAGGATGCTTGTGATTACACTGGGCCCACCTGGATAGTCCCTGATAATCTCCCGCTTTTGTAGCAGCTGGTTAGCAACCTTAATTCCATCTGTAACCTTAATTCCCCTTTGCCATGTAACATATTCACAGGTCCCAGAGATTTAGGATGTGGACATCTTTAGGGGCCATTTTTCTGCCTACCACACTGGTTAACCTGCTCTCTTAGTCGTCAGCTGCTATTTCTGGACTCTGTGTCCCAGCCTCTCAGGCCTCTGCATTTTCACAAGTCCTGTACTCTACTCCTGTTTCTTGTTTTTACTTTGCTTTTTCTGGCCCTTAATATTTATCAGTAGGCTTAATTACCGTCCATTGATTTATTTTGTTTTGCTGTGTTTTCCCTCCAATAACTAGATGACTTTTTTGTCTTTTTCTCTGGTAAAATTATTCTGCAATTTCCCTTGCTTATACAGAATTGTTTTGTAAGGAAGATGCTGCATCCAGTGATGTATATGTCTCTTACAGAACGTGCAGCTCTCACTTCTAACAGAAAGGGGAATGGGTGAAGCAGTACAAGAATTTGTGGACAAGGAAGAAAAAGATGCCATAGAGGAATTAGTGAAATATCAGTTGGAAAAAACACAGCGATTTCTTAAAGAACGTCATACTGATGCCCTAGAAGATAAAATCGATGAAGAGGTGAGTAACTAATTTGGGGTGGAAAATCTATTATTTAGATAGCCTCTCCTTAAGAGTAGCTCTAAGTTTCTTTCTGGTAAATCACTAACTTCACGATTTGTTTAGTTTCCTCATCTATAAAATTGAGATCATAAAGTGAGGATTAAATTAGAAAATGTCTAATAAGTGTCTAGAACACAGTCTCAAATATGATTGATACCCAGTGAATGTTAGTTTTGTTGCCCATAGCTAGTATCTTCTCTTGAAGATCATGAAAGTGCTTTAAAATGAACCTCATAGGGTGAAAATGTCTGCTTATCTCAATTTTTTATTAAGTTTTGATTGAGATTTTGAATTTCATCTAGGAAATGCAGTCCCTCTGAGCATAAAAGCAGAGGAAAACTCTTTAGATTTGACTACATAAAATTTTTAAATGTTTGCATGTCAAATTGTCAAAAAACAAAATGAGAAGGTATCGACATGGAGAAAATATTCGTATGTGGGCAGAACAAAAGGTTAATATTCTTACTACATTAAAGGGCTCTTATGAATCTTAAGAAGAATATTAAACATTTCAATAGAATAATGAACAGAGGACCTGAATAGGTGGTTCACAAAAGAAATATAAATGGCTAATAGGCATATGAAACCGGTATTTAACCTAGGATAATCAAAGAAGCTCAAATTAAATGTATTTTTTATCTATCAAAGTGGCAACAATTTGAGAAAGATACTTAGTACTCTGCTGGTAAGAGTATCAGAGTTTGAACAGCTGCAATGAAAAGCATTTTTGCCTTCTTAAGCATGTCAAGAAGCTTAAGATTTGTCCTTTAACTCAGCCCTGGGAGATTTTCCTGAGACAATAATGAGATAGAGATTTAGAATGGGGAGTAATTTATGTCAGTGTTATCTGCAGTGGGGAAAAGTTGGAGATGTTTTGGTAAAATAAATGTTGGCACATACACAGTATGGAATACTATGCAGCTATTAAAAATTACACTTTTGAAGAACATGCAAAAGTATTTTCAGTGTTAAGTGGGAAAAGAATTCCAAAGTGGTAAAACTATACACAATGGCATCCCAGTTATTTTTATTTTATATGTGAGTGGGTGCGTGTATGCAAAGAATGGAAGAAGATATTCCAAACATTATCAGTGGTTATGCTCAGGTAGTGGGATTATAGGGGATCATTTCCTGTATTTTCCAAATTCCCTCTGAGCAGAAGAACACAATGTTATTTTTAAAACTCATTCCCTTTTACTTTTATTTTTGTGCTTTTAGTCATTTAACATGATTCTTTTAAAGCCTTACAGTGTCAACTAATGTACAACCAGTAATATTAAATGCCAGGTACTTTGACAGGGAAGGCAGATAATCCACACTCTAAAACTACTTACTCTGTGGCTCTGGATGTGTTAGGTTCATAAATTTTTAGCATGGGTGGATTTGTCAGTCAAGTGCCATAAATATAACATGACCATACCCCCTAAATGTAAAATGCAAAACTGCAAAACTCCTAGGAGATAGTATAGGAGAAAACCTAGATGACCTTGTATATGGTGATGACTTTTTAGATTCAACATCAAAAGCACGATTCATGAAACAAGTAATTGATAAACTAGACTACATTGAAATTAAAAACTTTTGCTCTGCAAAAGATAACGTGAAGAGAATGAGAAGACACGCCACAGACTGGGAGAAGATAGTTGCAAAAGACAAATTTGATGAGGGATTATTATCTAAAATATACAAAAACTCTTAAAATTCAACAATAAGAAAATTTAATAATCCAATTAAAAAATGGGCAAAAGACCTTACCAGACCAAGGAAGGTAGTCAGTTGGCAACTAAGCATATGAAAAGATGTTCGACATCTTATGTCATTAGGGAAATGCAAATTAAAGCAAGGAGATATGCCACTACACACCTGTCAGAACGGCCAAATTCCAGAACACCGACAACACCACATGCTGGTGAGGATGTGCTGCGGCAGGAACGCTTAGATTGCGAGTGGGAATGCAAAATGGTGCAGTCACTTTGAAAGGCAGTTTGTCAGTGTCTTATAAAAGTAAACATACTCTTCCCGTACTCTCCAGCAGTCGTGCTCCTAGGTATCTACCCAAAGGAGTTGAAAACTTATGTCTAAACAAAAACCTGCACATGATATTTATAGCAGCTTTATTCATAATTGCCAAAACTTGGAAGCAACAAAGATGTACTTCAGTAGGTAAATGAATAAACTGTGAAACATCTAGACAAGGGAATATTATTCTGTGCTAAAAAGAAATGACCTATCAAGCCATTAAAAGACATGGAGGAACCTTAAGTGACTATTACCAACTGAAAGAAGCCAATCTGAAAAAGTAACTTAATGTATGATTCCTGCTATGTAACATTCTAGAAAAAGTAAAACTATGGACATAGTACAGAAATCACTGGTTGTCAGTGGTTGGGCAGGGATGGGATAAGGGGATGAAAAGGTGGATTCACAGAGGATTTTTAGAACAGTAAAACTACTCTGTATCAAACTGTAATGGTGGGTTATACATGTATACATGTCATTATACATTTGTCCAAACTCATAGAATGTACACCACCAAGAGTGAACCTTAAGGAGTTTAGGTGATATGGAGTATGGAGTGTCAGTATCGGTTCATCAGTTATAACAACTGTACAGTTCTGGTGGGGGATGTTGATATTAATAGGGGAGGCTGTGCATGTATGGGACAGGGCTATATGGGAAATCTCTGTGCCTTCCTTTTAATTTTGCTGTGAACCCAAGCTGCTCTAAAAAAGTAAATAAATAAAACAAACAAACCCTCCTTCCCACCCTCCACTCCCCAAAATGATCATCCACGCCTGGAGTGACATCATGACTTTTGAGAGAGAGAGAGAGTGTGTGTGGGGGTGTGGGGGTGTGTGTGTGTAGCATGGTGGCTAAGAGTATGGACTATAGACCAGATGACCTTACTCGCTATGGAACCGTCAGTGAAGTATTTAACCTCTCTGTGCCTCAGTTTCCTCATCTATGAAATGGGGATAATAGAAACTCATTCAAGGTTGTTGTGAGGATTAAAAGAATACATGTAAGCCCTCAGTACACTGACACATAATGCCTGCTCGGTATTTTTACTCTGATGCTCATTTCTCTTCTGTGAATGACTCAGTGCTTTTGATATATCACATGCCACCTCGAGCACTGTTACATGCTGTGCCGTCTTTTAAAAAAAATATTATTCCTGTATTCTTCCCCTTCTACTGAATCTTAACAAACATGCTGCTATTTCTTTCAACAAAACTCTGGAGCCTAGATCCTATTTCCCTTTCGCTGTTATTCTATTTCTTTTTTCCTCTTTTATAGCAGAATTGCTTCACAGAGTTTTCTGTATTTGCCGCCCAGATTCTTCGCCTTCATTTTTCTCTTAAATCCATCTATTCAGGGGTTTCGACCCCCTCTTTCCAGTGAATTTACTCTTGTCAAAGCACCAGTGACCTCCAGTGCTAAATCCATTGTCCGTTCTCCATCTTAAATCTCACTTGACCTCTTCTTAAAACCTTTTTTCCATTGGCTTTTAGGGCTCCACACTCTTCTGGTTTTCTTCCCAGCTCATTGTCTGTGTATTCTCAGTCTCTGTTGATTCCTCTCACCTCTCCAGCCTCTTAAGTTGGAGTCTCCAGAACTCAGTCCTTGGACCCCTTCTTCATCTACATATTCCTTTTGTATTCTCACCCAGCTTCCTGGCTTTAAATACTGTCATCTGGTGATGACTTTTCAAAAGTCTAGCCCAAACCTCTCCTCTCAACTCAAGACTTATGTAGCCAACAACCTGCTAGACCTTCCACTCGGATGTTTAATAGACCTCTCCAACTTCCAACATTCCCAGTCTGAATTGCTGAACCTTAGCCCCTGCTTTACCTGTAGGGTTCTAGTGGAAGCATTATTCTTTCATTTGCTCAAGTGGTAAACCTTGAAGTTATCCTTGACTCCTCTTTTTCTGTCACCTATATCCTGTCTGGAAATCCTTTAACTCTACCTTCAGAATATATACAGAATGTGACTATTTATCACCACCTTCATCTCTATCAGTGGTCCAAGGCCTGGCCATTTCTCACCTAGATTACTCCTGTTGCCTCCAAACTGGTCTCCCTGTTTCTGCCTGTGCTTTTCCTCCACACTCTGTTCTGTCCTCAGCTCAGCTGAGCTGTTGGTGATCCTAACGTAGTTTAGATGAAGTCACTCCTGCCTAAAAACAAAAGTCCTTACAGTTGCTCCCAAGGCCTTACTCAATGTGGTTTCTGTTACTTCTTCATCCTCATGTCTGCTGCAGTCCAGCGACCTCCTTGCTGTTTCTTAAACATACTATGCTTCTGCCCCGGTGCCTTTGCATATATTCTTTCCTTTGACTGGAATGATTTTCCCCAGTTATTTTCAAGGTTCATTCCCTACCTTTTAAAATCTTTGCTACCTTCTTGCTTTGCTACTTTCTCCGTGAGACCTTTGATGATCATCCTGTAGCCTCTTCTCAGCACTGTCTGTCCCTCTTCCTGCATTACTTTTCTCTGAGCACTTAACACCTTTTGCAAAGATTTCACAGGTTCACATATTTGAAAGGACTCATAAGAATCCACTGAACATACTCACTTAAAGTTTTTATTTAAAGGTAACTGATAACGGTACAGCAAGAGAAGGAGTATAGGCAGGCATTAGGGATCTGAGAGATACCAGGCGTCTGTTTCTCATGTCCTTATATGCACACAGCAAACCCGGGACAGAGCACCAAGATCTGTGCAGAAGTTTCCAGGGAGTCTTTTATGCCTCTCTGGTCGCATAATCAAACCACGCTGTCTAACTGCTCATGCAGGTTGAAATCCATCAGTAAATAATTTGGCCCTGGGAATGCCAGAGGCTCCTCAGAGGTAAGGATGGAGCTTTCTCAGTCTAGCTGTAAATTAACTTGATCCTATACACTTTGTAAAATACAACATAATTTTTTATTTTGTTTCTTATTTTGTAACACACACACACACACACGCACACACTGATTGTAAGCTCCATGGAGGGCAGAATTCTTGACCATTTTGTTCATTATTGTATTCTCAGTTCCTACAATAGCACCTGGCACATAGCTTGGCTCAGTAAATATGTGCCGAGTAAATTATTAAATAAATGGAGTTTCTTTCTAGCTATATAACTATATTATAAGAGCTGTATAGCTATATAACTATATTATAAGGAACCAGTAAAAAAGGAAGCTTTGTATCCTTCATGGCACCAGGACCAGGGTTGGCAGGCAGCAAACATTTGGTGGTTGACTGTTAGCAAAATGCATCTTCAGGGGCCCACCCACTTCAGATACCATTTCAGAGAGCCTCCTGGATGACTTGCAGCCAGGTGCCCAAGAATGATTTGAGCAGTGTAATAATTCAAGCCTATTAAAAGGGAGGTTTTTGTTTTTAGCTCTTTTACTGAACTATAACACCCATAGGACATTAGAATTTTTTCCTTTGCAGTCCGACAGGCTGTTTCTCAATGACTTGGAGCATTTGGTCAGCAGGTAATATCATTTTGCTTAGGGCCAGTTTTTCTTAGAGTACATTTCTGAATTTTTAATGTAAGTCACTGGGGGAATATGACTTCTTTAATCTTTTGTGAAACAAAACTATACTTGAATTTCCGAATTTTATGTTGTAATGGAAAACATAAGTTAGTTTTATATTTACATAACAGACATGTTTGTAACATTTTTGTGATTTATTCTGTTACAATCCAGGTACGTCGTTTCAGAGAAAGCAGACAGAAGAATGAAGAAGATGATGAAGTCCGAGAGGTAATTTTTCTGAAAATTCCTTTATTATATGTCAGCTTGTTAAATCAGAATAACTAGTAGGTTTATTTAGAGTAGTCAGTCCACAGGATCTCTTTTGGGTGGGTAGGACTGAGCAGGGGTTGGCTGAGGACCGCTGCCTTTGACTTATTCCAATTCGGCCTACGAGTATTCGGCTTGCTGATATTCTCTTTTTTTTTCCTTTTGCTCTTGTCGAAAACTTACTTAATTGCGCATGTGTGTATGTGGTGGGTGCAGGCATGGAGGGGAGGCGCAGGAATAGTAGCCCGAAGAGCTCTTTTTAATGAAAATAATTCCCAACTGCTATTATAAAATAATGTAAAATTTAAACATAGAATTGCCACATGATCTAGTGATTCCACTTCTGAGTATTTACCAAAAAAAATTGAAAGCAGGGACTTGAGCATGTATTTGTACACCAATGTTCATAACATTATTTACAATAGCCCACAGGTAGTAACGATCCAAAGTCTATCAAAAAACGAATGGGTAAACAAGATGTGATACATACATCCATTGGAATATTCTTTAGCCTTAAAAGGAATGAAATTGAAGTATAGAATGGAACATACTATATCATGGAAAACCCTTCAAAACATTATACTAAGTGAAGTAAGTCAGACATAAAAGAACAAGTACTATGTGATTCCACTTACATGAGATACCTAGAGTAGTCAAATTCATACAGACAGAAAGTAGAAGAGTGATTATCGGGGTTTGGGGGAGGTGGTTAGGGAATGAAGGGTTATTTAATGGGTATGGAGTTTCAGTTTGGGATTATGAAAAAGTTGTGGCAATGGATGATGGCAGTGGTTGTACAACAATGTGAATGTACTTAATGCCACTGAAATACACACTTAAAAATGGTTAAAATGGTAAATTTTTATGTTATGTATATATTACTACAAAAAAGTGCAATAATACTAGGGTAGTATATTTTTAAATCTCGCAAAAAGTATATGGAAACATTGTCTTGCCATTGGCCCTATGCCTCCACTCATGAGCTAAATTCATAGAAGTAATGTAGTTCAAAGATAGCAGTAAAGTCCACAGTCTGTTGTACAGAAAGATGAAGTATTATCTGAGTATAATGTTTGAGATGCTAAAATGAAGATGTAGTATTTAGACAAAGGCGAAGTATGAAATTTGGCAATGATGATAATTCATTCAAAGAAGTAATAATCATAAAAAGGCATGTGTGTTTTAAATTTTGCTAGATTCTGCCAAATCACTCCAAATATGTTACACCAGTTCCTCTCCTGACCGATAGTATTAGGGAGTGCTTATTTCCCTGCATCCTTCCGGCCATGACATATTACTACATCTTTTGATCTTTACAAATCTAAGTGGCGAGAAATTATTTCTTACTGTTGCTTTTAACTCATACTACTTGTATTACTAGTGAGTCTGAGCAATTTTTATGTTTATAAGTTATATTTATATGAAACACCTGATCATGTTCTTTGCATAGAATATTTTTTTCTTTTGCCTAGGGCATTGGTCTTTCTCTAATTGGTTTATAAGAGCACTCGTTTTGTTATATAAAAGAAATATCCACTTGTTCCTGAGAGTTTTTTGTTTGTTTGTTTAAATCCAGAATGGGTAATGAATTAAGAGCTTTGTTGGCATCTGTGAAGATAAGCATGCAGGGTTCTTCCTCCTGTGTTCTGTTAATATGGTGAATTATATTATTTTCTATCCTATTATTGACCCAACCTTAGTATCACTTTGTGAAGCCCCTGATAATAGGTGTACTGGTCTTTCCATGCGCCCCGGGATTCCTTTTGTTTGCTTTGATATTCATGAGTAAGATACTGTAATTTTCCTTTTGTACATGCAGTCCTTTGTCAGTTTTCAGTACCATGTTGTGCTGGCTTTATAAAAACCAGCTGAAAGCTTTCTTTCTTTATGCTCTGTTCCTATTGAAATAGCCATGGAATCATCTGTTCTTTGAAGATTTGGTAGAATTTACCTGTGAAACTTTCTGGTTGCGATCCTTTTCGGGAGTGTAGTTCTTTTAAGAATTTTCTCAAAATGTTGTTAATTAGTCTGTTGAGACTGTCTATCTTTTTTTGATTCAGTTTAGGTCATTTATTTTCCAAATTACTTAGAATTGAGCAAAGTGTTTTATCACAATTCTTTTAATTTTCCTTACATCTTTTTTTCCCTCCATTCTCCTTTCTTTGCTTTAATTTAACAATTCATTTTAAAATTGTTTCATGTGTTCTGATATGCAGTATTTTTATTATCATTTTCTAGGTATTCTACAATTTTTGTTTTGTTTTGCAGTTTGGAGTCCAGGCTTTTGTCTTAATAATTTCTAATTTTATTGCATTGTGATTAGAAAGTATGATAATATTCTTTTTACTATTTAGGATTGATGTTTTTCTTAGCATCCCATTATATATCGGTTAAAACATTTCATGGGGTCTTGAAAAGAAGTATATTGTTTATTTTCAGAGTACAGAGTTCAACATGTATCAGCTAGATCTACCTTATTATGTAATTTAGGTCTCCTTTTTTCTTTTAAATATATATATTTTTTATTTTATTTTATAAATTTATTTTTGGCTGCATTGGGTCTTCGTTGCTGTGCGCGGGCTTTCTCTAGTTGCAGCGAGCGGGGGCTACTCTTCCTTGTGGTGCGCGGGCTTTTCATTGTGGTGGCTTCTCTTGTTGTGGAGCACAGGCTCTAGGCGCACGGGCTTCAGTGGTTGTGGCACGTGGGCTCAGTAGTTGTGGCTCATGGGCTCTAGAGTGCAGGCTCAGTAGTTGTGGTGCACGAGCTTAGCTGCTCCGTGGCATGTGGGATCTTCCCGGACCAGGGCTCAAACCTGTGTCCCCTGCATTGGCAGGCAGATTCTTAACCGCTGTGCCACCAGGGAAGTCCCTGTGTATATATTTTTTAATGTAGAGCTGGTTCTTGTTATTCATGGTAGTTGTGTTCTATAAAGTCACTGTAAACACTGAGTGAACACTGAACTGTTGCTCCTAGGGGAAATATAGGAATAGGTTCCTGCCAGCCACTGGTTACAACATTTTTGTTAACTGATTAATACATAACCCTTTCCATGTGTGTTTCTGTTTTAAGACCTTACTCAATATATATCATTGATTCATTAGCATTGAACTTGTGGCCCATTCAGTGCATGCCTTAATGAAGCATATATGACACATGTGTTTCCTCCGTAAGGCACATCACAGCTTCTTGCACTTAAGAACCCTAGACAGCACTTCAGCACTACACTGGCGGCCGTTTTAAAAGTAAAATCCCCAGCTGAAAGCACAAAATTGTGAACACGGCACTAAACGTACTGTGAAAAGGATACTCGTTTAAAGAAGGCCCAGTGTCGCCTCGTTCAACCTCATCTGGGAAGGTGTGTGTCAGGCGATTCAGAATTTGCACCTCTCTGCACGTGTCCATGAATGATCACAAACGCATCAGGAGTTAGAAATAAATTTTGGCAAGTAGGTGAATTTGCATATACGGAGTCTGAAAATTATGAGGACTGACTGTACTTCATCTGGGACAAGAAAGATGAATTGAAATCTTTTTCAACTATCTTTTCTTTGTATCTTTTTGGTTGTATTCCCTAAAGTTTTGTTCTTTTGGAGTTGTAATGCCATGTTGAGCCGTTCCCGTAGTGACTTAGCTGTTGTTTCACTTCAGCAAGTTCATCAGCGTGAAGCTGGGTTACCTCCACCTCTCCCCACCCGCTGCACTCCTGCTTCTGCCCTGCCTGCTGTGTGCTTATCTCCTCATCTAGTGCTTATCTCCTCATCTAGCCCTGTCTCTCCATATTTCATGGCACCACACAGAGCTTAGAAAAGCTCTAGATGCCTATTATTAGACCCAGAACTAGTCATTCCAAGCAAGAGAGACTGTTGTCATGGCCTCTTGGCACGGGTAGATCAATTTTGGAGCTCTCTACACTGTCTGAAACTCTTCTCAACTTTCTCCCTTAGCCAGGCCAAATATTCACTATACCCATTAACTCTTTCTCCTGGGTTTTGTGTTTTGTGGGTGGAGCAATTTTCTAATTTTATTCAAAAAGGTATTTTTTTAATTTTTGTTCTCCTTGTTACATTTTGATAGGTTTAAAGGAAGAGATCAGGGCAGCATTGCTCTTATTCTGTTTTTAATCAGAAAATCTATATTCATTTCAGAGTTAGGATATTTCATTAAGTCTCAAACTTGTCTTTTCTAGACAGTTTCTTATCAAATTAAAATTTATTAAGTTAAAATCTTGGCCCTCACGTTTTTATTATTTTCCAGGCGTTCAATTGTTTTGTTCTACCTAATTCTTTTTACTATATATTTGTAAGAGATTATTGCTTATGTTTTTCTGATTACAAAAGTAATATTTTAGAAAACGTACATTGTAGCAAATTTGAAATATTCAATGATAATGAAGAAAACAAAAAGCACCCTAAAATTTCATCACCCAGAGATAGCAGCTATTTTTGGTGAGTTTTTTTCTTTTCTTTTTTTTTAGTTTCATGAAAAAAGGAATCACTATCTTTTATTTAAATCCATACACCTAAAACAAATATCATATAATATCGCTTATATGTGGAATCTAGAAAAATGGTACAGGTGAACTTATTTGCAAAGCAGAAATAGAGACATAGATGTAGAGAACAAACATATGGATACCAAGGGGGGAAGGGAGGGTGAGATGAATTGGGAGATTAGGATTGACATATATACACCACTATATATAAAATAGATAACTAATGAAAACCTACTGTATAACACAGGGAGCTCTACTCAATGCTCTTTGGTGACCTAAATGGGAAGGAAATCTAAAAGAGAGGGGATATATGTATATGTATAACTGATTCACTTTGCTGTACAGCAGAAACTAACACAACATTGTAAAGCAACTATACTCCAACAAAAATTAATTAAAAAATATAAATCCATACACCTATTCTCAGTCTTCATCTGGGTTGAACTCTCAGCATCTTTTAAAATAAAACTATTTTTCGAAAAAAAATTAAGAAAACAAGTCCATTTACAAGAACATCAAAAAGAGTAAAATACTTAGGAATAAACCCAATAAAAGAAACATAAGACTTGCACAATAAAAATCATAAAATGTTGCTGAAAGTAATTTTTAAAGTCCTAAAAAAAAAGTACTAAATAAATGAAATGATATCCCATGTTCATGAATTGGAAGACTTAGTACTGTTTAGATGACAGTAATCCCCAAACCCCATCTGCCTTTTTTTTTTTTTTTTGCAGAAATTGACAAACTGATCCTAAAGCAATGGTAATTAAAACAGTGTGGTACTGGGATAAGGCTAGACAAGTAGATCCATGAAACAGAATCAAGAATCCAGAAATAAACTCTGACATTTATGGTTAATTGGCTTTCCAGAAGGGTGCCAAGATAATTCAATGGGGGAAAGAACAGTCTTTTCAACAAATGGTGTAGGGACAACTGGATATCCATATGCAAAAGAGGCTGGATCCCTATATCACACAGTATAAAAAAATTAGCTCAAAATGGATCAAAGAAAGGAAAAAAAAGGATCAAAGACCTAAATATATGCATTAAAACCATAAAACTCTTAGAAGAGAATATAGGAGTGGATCTTTGTGACTCTGGATTAGGCAATGGCTTCTTAGATATGACACCAAAAGCTCAAGCAACAAAAGAAAAAATAAACTGGAATTCATCAAAACTTAAAAACTTTTGTGCATCAAAGGACACCATCAAAAAGGGAACAGACAACCCAAGAAACGGAGAAAATATCTGCAAATCATATATCTGATAAGGGTTCGATATTCAGAACAAATAGAGAACACTTATAACCCAACAATAAAAAGACAAATAGCCCACTTCAAAAATGGGCAAACTATTTGAATAGACATTTCTCCTAAAAGATACACAAATGAAAAGATGCTCAACATGATTAGCCACAAAGGAAATGCAAACCAAACCCACACTAATACACCACTTCGTATCCATTTGATCTTTTGTTGGGTCTTCATTGCCGCATGTGGATTTTCTCTAGTTGCATCAAGCAGGGACTACTCTTCACTGTTGTGCGCAGGCTTCTCATTGTGGTGGCTTCTCTTGTTATGGAGAACAGGCTCTAGGTGCGTGGGCTTCAGTAGTTGTGGTGAGTGGGCTTCAGTAGTTGTGGCTCATGGGCTTAGTTGTTCCGCAGCATGTGGGATCTTCCAGGGCTTGAACCCGTGTCCCCTGCATTGGCAGGCAGAATCTTAACCACTGCACCACCAGGGAAGTCCACATCCATGTGACCTTGATGCTTGGAACATTCTTTTTGGGTGGCACGGGGTTCATGACACAAGATTATTTTTCTTTCTCTATAGATTCAGTTACTTTAATTGGTTCTTCACTAGAGAAGCAAGAATCTCATAATTGGTTCTCATTACTTGCTTGTAAAGCTCCTTCTGCCGTGCCTCTAGATTCCGCCATTCTTCCTCGGAGAAATAAACGGCCACATCCTTGTAAGTCAGAGGTAACAGAGCTGGCTCGGCCATGGGCCCTTGCGGTCCCACCAGGCCCCGGACGGGGTTACGGCCAAGCCACGTGTCCCGGCTGCCCACGGCAGCCTCCAGCTCCCCACTGACCTCCAGTTTTTTTTTCTTGTTATTTATCAAGAGCCCATTGTACAAAGTAGCTCAAATGATGACAGTCTCTTACAAATGGCGGTGTTGCGTTAGGGGCGGTTGCCAACATTCCTCCCAGTTCTGAAACTTTTGATTCTGTGAAATTTTATGGTTCCCGATACACATTTTCAAAAGGTCTCATTTTACAGGTATCAGTAGTATTGTAAATTGATCTAACAAATCGTAGGCACTGAATTTGATTGATGGGGGAGGGAGCTTCTCCTGTTTTACATGTTTTAGCATGATTAGTGAAAAATAATAGTTTAGACAGTTTGGCAATATGAAATGTCCATCTGAGTGACTGGATTAATGACTTTTAGGCTGCTGCATTGTCTACTGATGTGTATTTTCCTCTTGTCATCCCTCTTAGGCCATGAGTAGGGCCAGAGCCCTCAGATCTCAGTCAGAGGAAGCTGCTTCCGCCTTTAGTGCTGATGACCTTATGAGTATAGATTGGGCAGAACAGATGGCTGATGACTCTGATGACAGCATCACAGCAGCAGCCAACAAAGGAAGAGGCCGAGGAAGAGGCCGGAGAGGAGGAAGAGGGCAGAATCCAGTGTCAAGAGGAGGATCTCAGAGAGGAAGAGGTTAGCACTGAGTCTTTCTTACACAGTCACACTTGGCAGTTGTGTGGGAAATTCAGAATTGTGTTCATATTGGCAGAATTGAGTTACACAGTCCTTTAAAAATTTATTTTTACAATGCATAAAAATGGTCTTTAATGTAGTTCCAACATGTACATTTCACGTAAATAAATTCTGAATGGCCACATGCACATATAGTTTGAATAGTTCTTAACACGTTCTTTCTTTAAAGAATTTCATAGTGCCTCTCACACATTGGGAACATTTAATAGACATGTTTACTCTCACATGTACAAAGTAATAGTGAGGCAAACACTTAAGGAAAATGTCTAGCTAATGCCCACTAACAGCAGGAAGAAAACTCCAGATTATAAAAATTATTATTTTTGAAAACTGCCCCTACACAATTTGATTTTTTAAAGCAATCATTAAATTAATTGCCATCGTTTTGTCCAATGTGATACTATTGTCATTGAATAGGCCAAATAATAGAAGATAGTCATCCAGTGACTTCCTGATGCATTATAGAAATCCATCCCTAGGAATAGTTTTAAATTATTTTTCTATTAAATATTTATCTGTCGGAATTTTAAGCTGTTAAAGTGGGTAGTACTTTAGTTAAAAATCTCCCAGGAGAGAAATCCCCATCTTCTAGTGATAAATGTTTTCATTATCCTTACATTTATAAATTTTTTCCTTACATTGTAATTGGAACACTATGAACCAAGTGCGGCCTAAGAATAGTCTCTGAAAATTGATTGATCAGACGCTAGATGTTTCTTCTTATATATATCTTTGACATTTTACACATAAACTATGTTTTGACATAACTTTATTTAGTGGTGTTTTTTTAAAAAAACAAAACAAACCTTAGCCACTGATGGACTGGTATACTGACCGCTCATTATTCTAACAGCAGGCGCTGCTCTGGAGACTTCTACCCGAGGCAGAAGTTCAAAGGCCACTATGTCAACATCTAGAAATATGTCTATTATAGATGGTGAGTATAGACTGCCAAAGATCACCTAGCAGGTACTTATAAATTCCAACACAGGAAGACTCAGGAAAGCCCATGAGTAAACCTTACTGGTTTGTGTTGAATCACAGGATAAATTATGCTGATTTAAAAGACCTTTGCCATTCATGGAGGCTATTGAAGAGGGTGGGCTCTAAAAATTAATTTTTATATCCCACTTTAGACAAATTTGGTTATTTCCCTTTTATAGAGGGATCACTAAGACATGGAAAAGGCAGTTGGTCAGTGTATCAACAATGATTAAGAGAGAAGGAACTGCTCCTTAATGTACTGTAAACTTTCTTTCCTCATGCTGCTTTTGTCCATCTCTCCTATTAGTATAGAGTCATGTGAGCTGCATTTAAGGGAAGTTATAGTTAGGATTCTTTGAATTGATTTTGTGTATGTTGCTGTGGTCTAAAAATTAGCCTCAAACTAAGGGAACCTATTTTTATAAACTATTTTAGTAATAATTTAATATAGAAATTTAATAAACTATTTTTAATATTACAGTTTATGAGATCAGAGGAAGTTGTAAGTCAGATCTGTGTTGTAAGTTGTAAGTCAGATTTAAAATATATGTTAAAATAGGTGGTGATATATTTTTCTCCCTACCATTCAGAGTATATCCATATGTATTTTATTTATATTATCTTATTATTTGAGATTAATTTTTGACAGATTGGAGAGTTGGACTAAATCTCACAAGATGAAATTTATCAAGGGTAAATATAAACTGTATTTATGTCCAAAAGAACAGCTGCACAGAGAAGTATATGATATTAGTAGGGAACCAAGTAAGAAAGACTTAGGTCACTGAGGTTGTGCAGGTTGATCTAACTGTCCAAATCTAATGGTGCCTTAAGCACTATTAATAGAAGTAATGCTTCTTGACAGCAAGGAAGTTCTCCCTCGTACTGATTGGATGTATCATGCCAAGAATACTGTGCTCATCTTTTGAAACCGTATTTCAAGAAAGATGTCAACTTTATATGATCATTCAGAAGAGAAACCATATAATATAAAAAATTTGATAGAAGGAACTTATGATATCTAACCTGGGAAAAATTCAAGTCTTTACAGAAATTAAGTTCTGTTATATCAAAGATCGGATAGATTTGATTTGTATAGTTCTAAAGACAGTGGTTTTAAATCTATTTTAAGTTATGGATTCTGAAAGCTATGTCTCCTATCTTTAAATAAGTACTCATATGCAATTGTGTGCCATTTCAAAGGGCTCAGGGACCCCCATGAAGCCTATCCATGGGCTCCAGGTTAAGAACTACCAACCCAATGAGGATAGATGGAAAAGCTAATCACACACAGATTTAAGTTTATTATGTGATAAAGTGGACCTGGAAGGCTTAAGAACAATTTCACCTACTCCCTCTTTTATAGATGAGGGAATTGAGCTAAGTAATTTGCCCTAGATTGATAAAACCACTAATAGTACTAATAATAGCTAATACTTATGTGACGATTACTGCAGGCCTCTCAACAGCTCAGTGGGATAGGCACTTATTATTTCTCTGTTTTACAGAAAAGGGAACTGAGGCTTTGAAAAGATAGGCAACTTACCCAAGGTCTCACAACTAGTAAATTCTAGAACTTGAATTGATCCCACATTCTCTGGCCTTCAGAGTGAGTAGGTAACCACTCTACTGTTAGTTTCCAGAGCAAGAGAAGATTAGAGGTTGAGCTACTGGCTCTCAGTAGAGAAGTCTTTGCATTATACGGAATAATCTATCAACCAACATAAAGATGGTGTAAGCTGCCTCAGAAGGAAGTGAGTTGTGACTCCATCAGAGGAAATTTTCAATATTTTCTGGATGACAGTTGACATTGGAGAAAGGATAAAAACATCAGCTCTACTAAATGATTCTTGAAGGACCTTCTTATCAAAAGTTCTGCTGCTATTTTTTTGTTGTTGTTGTTTTGTTTTGTTTTTTTGCGGTACGCGGGCCTCTCACTGTTGTGGCCTCTCCCGTTGCGGAGCACAGACTCCGGACACACAGGCTCAGCGGCCATGGCTCACAGGCCCAGCCGCTCCGCGGCATGTGGGATCTTCCCAGACCGGGGCACGAACCCGTGTCCCCTGCATCGGCAGGCGGACTCTCAACCACTACGCCACCAAGGAAGTCCCATGCTGCTGTGTTTTTATTGAAGGATTATTCAGTACTTGAGTAGGGCCAGCTGAGATCCTTATCTTTTGACTTTAGAAGTATATTGTCTCTGTTGCCGGTTAGAAAATGGCATTTAGAAAGATGCTGTGACATTCTTGGAAGGTGTAAGATAAAAGCAGAGAAGGGAAAAGGAAGTGAAAAAAGGCAGCACGGTAAACGATCTGGGATGAGTTCAACGTGTAAAAAGCTTTGTGACTTTGGACAAGTCACTCACTCTCCTAGTTTGTTTACGTGTGCATTGGGAATAATCTTGCCATATTGGATTACTCTGGGGATTAAAAGCAAAAAGCCTTGGAATTCCCTGGGGGTCCAGTGGTTAGGACTCCACCAAGGGCCCGGGTTCAATCCCTGGCTGGGGAACTAAGATCCTGCAGGCCTCTCAGTACAGCCAAAAAAAAAAAAAAAAAAGGAAAGCCAAAAGCCTGGCACATAGTAGGCTTTTGTGAAATGTTTATATATATATAATAAAAAAAGAGAAAACAGAGGGAGTTAGAAAAGGATCGTGAGTAAAATATGAACACGTCCATGTTAAACTACCAAAAGTTGGTCAGCATGCAACACAGAGGCATAGACTTTGTAAATTACCTGCCTTTACCTTAGCCCACACTGCCTTTTCTCATCATGGCTTTGTTGTTCTATGTGAAACTTTCCTTGACACCAGTGGGCAGAATTAATCACTCAGATTGAGTCTTCAGGTTTCCATTGTTGTCATTAAGAAATCAGCTATTGGGCTTGCCTGGTGGCACAGTGATTGAGAGTCTGCCTGCCGATGCAGGGGACACGGGGTTCGTGCCCTGGTCCGGGAAGATCCCACATGCCATGGAGCGGCTGGGCCCGTGAGCCATAACCGCTGAGCCTGCGCGTCTGGAGCCTGTGCTCCGCAGCGGGAGAGGCCACAACAGTGAGAGCTTGTTGCTTTATTTAAAGTAGTCTGTTTCTCCTCCGGCTGGCCGTCTCTGGTGTTCTGTAGTTTCACTATGATGAATCTAGATATGGGATTCTTTTTATCCTGCTTAGGATTTATGGGGTTTCATGAAACTGTGAATTGGTGCCTTTTATCATTTCTAGAAATCCTTTGCTCTTATCCCTTCAGATATTACCTCTGTGCTATTCTTTTTCTTTCCTTCTAAGACTTCAATTAAATAAATGTGTGACCTATTCACTGTGTCCTCCCACTGGAGGAGGAGTACTAACTTCCCAGAGTAGTTTTAAGTGTTAAATGAGCTATGCATAACCATTACTGAGCACAGCACTTAGAAAGAATCCAATAAATGACTGCTGCTGTTAGTATTAGTGACAGTGTTTACAATTAACTCATGATAATGGATGTTTCTATAAATCAGTCTAAATTTGTCTTTTATGCAGTTGATTTGGTCCAATGGTTTTGCAGTTTAACTCCAACATGGGCCTTTTTTTGAAAAACGGAACTGACTTTTTAATATGGTCTCTGACAAAATAACCATGGAGTACTAACTATAGTTACTATAAGTTTGGGATAAAAGCAACTTTCCCTAACACCATACACAAAAATAAGCTCAAAATGGATTAAAGACCTAAATGTAAGGCCAGAAACTATCAAACTCTTAGAGGAAAACATAGGCAGGACACTCTATGACATAAATCGCAGCAAGATCCTTTTTGACCCACCTCCTAGAGAAATGGAAATAAAAACAAGAATAAACAAATGGGACCTAATGAAACTTCAAAGCTTTTGCACAGCAAAGGAAACCATAAACAAGATGAAAAGACAACCCTCAGAATGGGAGAAAATACTTGCAAATGAAGCAACTGACAAAGGATTAATCTCCAAAATTTATAAGCAGCTCATGCAGCTCAATAACAGAAAAACAAACAACCCAATCCAAAAATGGGCAGAAGACCTAAATAGACATTTCTCCAAAGAAGAAATACAGACTGCCAACAAACACATGAAAGAATACTCAACATCATTAATCATTAGAGAAATGCAAATCAAAACTACAATGAGATATCATCTCACACCAGTCAGAATGGCCATCATCAAAAAATCTGCAAACAATAAATGCCGGTGGAGAGGGTGTGGAGAAAAGGGAACACTCTTGCACTGCTGGTGGGAATGTGAATTGGTACAGCCACTATGGAGAACAGTATGGAGATTCTTAAAAAACTACAAATAGAGCTACCATATGACCCAGCAATCCCACTACTGGGCATATACCCTGAGAAAACCATAATTCAAAAAGAGTCATGTACCAAAATGTTCATTGCAGCTCTATTTACAATAGCCCGGAGATGGAAACAACCTAAGTGTCCACATCGGATGAATGGATAAAGAAGATGTGGCACATATATACAATGGAATATTACTCAGCCATAAAAAGAAACGAAATTGAGCTATTTGTAATGAGGTGGATAGACCTAGAGTCTGTCCTACAGAGTGAAGTAAGTCAGAAAGAGAAAGACAAACACCGTATGCTAACACATATATATGGAATTTAAGAAAAAAAAATGTCATGAAGAACCTAGGGGTAAGACAGGAATAAAGACACAGACCTACTAGAGAATGGACTTGAGGATATGGGGAGGGGGAAGGGTAAGCTGTGACAAAGCGAGATAGAGGCATGGACGTATATACACTACCAAACGTAAGGTAGATAGCTAGTGGGAAGCAGCCGCATAGCACAGGGAGATCAGCTTTGTGACCGCCTGGAGGGGTGGGATAGGGAGGGTGGGAGGGAGGGAGACGCAAGAGGGAAGAGATGGGAACATACGTATATGTATAACTGATTCACTTTGTTATAAAGCAGAAACTAACACACCATTGTAAAGCAATTATATTCCAATAAAGATGTAAATAAATAAATAAAAGCAATGAAAAAATTTTTTTAAAAATGAAGCTTGGTTACAAAAAACAAAAGCAACTTTAAACTATAGCTTCTACGTTCGTATTGTAAATGGAGGAATGAAGAGATAAATAAAGGTTCAATCCTATTATAAGAAGCGCCATGGAGTGTAAAGATTTGTACAATAGTCCTGCAGTTTTATTGGGAAAGGTAGATGTTACACTTACAGCCAGCAGCGGTTGTGAATGAGAGTTATCAGCCCAGACTTTTCCACTGAAGTCTGTCTTCAGAGGATAGTGACTAAGTTGATAAAAGAAGCCTCTGTCTTTGCATTTAATTTATACCATGGTTACCACTGCTGCTACCCCATCCACTATTACTAGTGAAATCATTTGAATACCTACTACATCTAGGTGCTTGCCAAAACAATTTACATTAACCGCCTCTTTTTATCCTGTCCACAATTTTCAGCATGAAGTATTAGTAACTGCTTTATAGGTGGGGAAACCGAGACTTGACGAAGCCAAGGAACTTGGCCACAGTCACCCAGCTAGTGAGTCCACATGGCTCTAACTCTAAAACCAGAGCTTTTAACCCCCAATACAGTATGTATTGCCTTCCTAACAGAACCAAGTGCTTAATTTTCTGATAATGTTAATTTATCACACAAATATTTATTGGGGATAAAAAGAAAGGAAGGCTCTTGTTTCTTCCAGGAGCCGAGAGTTTGAGGGGTCAATTAGTGAATAACGATTGAGCAGAAATAGTTTTTGAAAGAGTCATGATTGCTGGCCTTTGCATTCAGTTGCCCTCTCCAGCCTTTTTTTTTTTTTTTTTTTTGCGGTACGCGGGCCTCTCACTGTTGTGGCCTCTCCTGTTGCGGAGCACAGGCTCCGGACGCGCAGGCTCAGTGGCCATGGCTCACGGGCCCAGCCGCTCCGCGGCATGTGGGATCTTCCCGGACCGGGGCACAAACCCGTGTCCCCTGCATCGGCAGGCAGACTCTGAACCACTGCGCCACCAGGGAAGCCCTCTCCAGCCTTTTGAGTAGAGTAGGATGTGAGGCTAGTGATTGAGTACGGTGGGTAAGAACTCTGCTTCCTCCTTTCCTTTCTCTCAGGTAGACATCCTAAGATTGGGGATAGAACCTGGAATAGGAAAAATGAGTAAATCATAAATTTAGGCTAGGTGGAAAGATTCCTGAGTTTTCTGACTAGGAGAATTTTGGACTTTGTAGGGTTCTTTGAACATTTGACTTCTTCAAGTCCTCTGTCTTTTTATCTCCTCTTGCTCTGTTGTTTAGTTTGGGGGTTATCTTGGGGGAAACCTTTTTTTTTTTTTTTTGTATTAGGAAACTGGTAAGGCGTAGGAGAAAAATTAAACCTCTAATTGGGTCTTTAAATTTTATTCTAGGTTTTTAATAATCTGCACTTAATTCCAGTGGGGGTGGGGGGGGTTACCCACACCACCAAGCCGTCCTCAGACACCTGCTGGGTGTCCTGCAAGTCAACTCAATTCTGACACTACCTGCCCAGAGACAGCATCAGATCCCACAGGGGAAGGACTCAGTTCCAGAAGACTGCCCCCCTCTACTTCAGATGCCAGTCACAAGTCCAGGTTGTTATCTGTACTTCTGACTAATAGGCTATCAATCAGAGGTCCCCATGACTCCCTCCTTGGATTCAACTAACTTGCTAGAGTGGCTCACAGAACTCAGGAAACTAGTTTACTCACTAGATTACTGGTTTATTACAAAAGATATGAAAGGATATGAATCAATAGCCAGATGAAGAGATGTATAGGGGCGAAGTCCAGAACAGAGGAGCTTCTGTCCTCATCGAGTTTGGGGTCCAAGCATGGTGGCACGTGGAAGCATCTTGATTCACCGCCTGGAAGCTCTCTGAACCCCCTTCCTTTTGAGTTTTTATGGAGGCCCCGCTACATAGGAATGATTGATTAAATCATTGGCTGTTGGTGATTGATTCAACCTCTAGCTCCTCTTCCCTCCCCAGAAATCGGGGATGGGACTGAAAGTTCGAACCCTCTATTCCTGGTTGGTTCCCCTGGTAACCAGCCTCCCTCCTCAGTTGTGGTCCCAAAGTTATCTCATTAACATAACAAAAAGCACCTTGATGGCTCTCATTGCTTTAGGAAATTAGGGTTTTAGGGGCTCTCTGCCAGAAATGTGGATGAAGACCAAATGTATATTTCTTACTGTAAAATCAAAATATTATAGTTTTGGTCTCAGGAAAAATAAAAATGAACTAAACTTCATGTTTCTAACCAAGTTTACAAAGCTGAAAATGTAAGGATTCATAGGAAGGTTATCATGGAATGAAAGATAGGCTGTAACAGGGATATTAGCTCGGTGCTTTGTGACAGCCTGGAGGGGTGGGATAGGGAGAGTGGGAGGGAGGGAGACGCAAGAGGGAAGACATATGGGAACATATGTATATGTATAACTGATTCACTTTGTTATAAAGCAGAAACTAACACACCATTGTGAAGCAATTATACCCCAATAAAGATGTTTAAAGAAAAAAAAAAAAAGAAAGATAGGCTGTTTTCTAGCATTCCCTCTGGACTATTTCTTAGGTACTGAATATTTCTAACAAAGTAGAGGAGAATAAGGAAGCGCTTACTGGAACCATGTGGCTCCCACAGGGAAAGAGATTGTCATCTATAAGAGAAGGCAGACCTGAGGAGGGTTACTTTCACTGTATTTGGAGTTCAGTCCATTAGGTGATCAGATTTTATCCTTCAGGTATTTTTCTATAAAATATTTTTAGTGTAGGTGTATTTATGAACAGTGCTTACTACTTTATTTGAGTAAACCGGGAAATCATATGAGACTGGTAGTTAGACATATAATTCCATCTCCCGATTTTAAAGCATATTAAGTGGTTTTATAATCAGTCATCATGGATTTTTGCAGATAGGACTTAGGAAACCTTCAGCTAAAGAAGTGTGCAAATTTTTCTAAGCTTTTTTAAGAATAACATAATGGATGTTTCATCTTTTTCTTTATAGCCTTTAAAGCTGCAAGACAGCAGCCCTCCCAAAATGTTGCTACTAAGAATTATTCAGAGGTAAGAAAAAAAGTTTTCTAATTGTGTACCAATTTATGTTTCCTACATTATGATTGTCAATTCTTTGGTCTACAAAGTAAATAAAAGAAGAAAAAATGTGGAACATTAAAACTGCAGAGAACTTTACTGATTATCTAGACTGAGGGCTTCTAGGGTTTCTGCGTGGGAGGAGGGTTTCTCTCTTTCTTTCTTTAATAATGGATCACATGATTGGACACCCATAAATGTATGTACCCAGTAATATTTTTAAGGATAATAATGTTGAACCAAAAGAGTCCATGCATGGAAAACTATGACTGAAGATGGGCGTTCAGTGCGTAGAGAGGTCTTATTTATTGCTGGCTTCCTTTTGTTACTTATACTCTCATAATACTCTGGCTTGTGTCTTAATGGCTGAAGCCAGACTCAAGACAAGCTACAAGGTCTGAGTCTACGGACCTCTGTGTTCAACTCTAGATTTAACATGAAACCTCTGCTCTTCCTTTGGATTCCAAGAAGAGTCCAGAATGGGCTTGATTCTCCTGTTACCTCTCTTTCAAAACACATGTGTCTTACTTCCCAGGCACCATCCCTGGCCTCTACCTGCTAGATGCCTGGGGTGTCCCCCCTAGTTATGATAATCAAAATGTCTCCAGACATGTCCAGTTGTTTCTGGGATGGGGGGGGTTTTAAAAATCACACCTAGTTGAGAATCGTTGCTCTATATCATACTGCCCCACCAGCATTTTCTCAAATTTCACTCCTTGATTTCTTGAGTATGTGACACAATTGACCACCTCCTCTTCCAGAAAACTTCTCTGTTTTTTTGTTTTTTCCTTTCTTATTATTATACAATTATATATGGGTATACTGGTGCTAACTTTTATCCTGAGCTCCATTTCATTATTCCTATTCAACTGTTGCCTGCTATCGCTGCAAGATCACATCTGAAAACAAAATTATCATCATGTCCACAAGGTAGCTTCCCTTCTAGATTTTTCTTTTATAATGCAAGAACATGAGTTCAGAAAGAGCAAGTCATGGTAACTTTTTCTTTCATGTTTTTGATTGAGGTGACATAGTGGTAGATCAGGGGAATGCTGAAGGCATTTGATCCCTTCAAGGCACTTAAGACAATCTCCTGACAGTTTCATGGACAAAATGCAGAAATATTGGCTGGATTCATAGCCATTTAGAAACTTCATTTAATGGTCTTTGATTAATAGTTCAATGTCAGCCTTAGGTGGGGGTGGGTCTCAAGTGCTGCTTTTTTCACTGTTTTGTCTTTGGCTTTATCAGTTGGATGAAGACATGGCAAGTGTGTGTATTAAGTGTCAAGATAACACAAAATGTAGAGGAGTAGGTAGTAATTTGGATGATAGTATCAAGAATCACAGGTATCTTTCTTGGGGCTTAAAAGCAGCAAGTGGTATTTAACAGGGATAAATGTAACAGAAAAACAGATATCCGGTACTTCCCACACAGTCTTATACCTCATTTAAAATTGGAGATGAAGCACCGATGGCCTAGTTCCTCATTAGAACCCAAGAAAATCACAGGGCACTGTCCGCACATGACCCATTGTGAGTCATTCACCAGTCTGAGTGCATGTTCCTATAGGTACCCAGGCTGCCGTGGTAGTAGGAGAGAAGTGAGCTCACACATGTTGTATAAAAAAACCATTTGTAAATGAAGAGTGACATTAGTGGGGAGGTTAGGCAGAGCTTTAGTTTTTATGGTTATTGTTTACATGGTATCTGCCTCCTTTTTTGTAACTTTTTATAAAAATATATATTTTTGGACATTAGTTAATGCATTTTTATTCAGATTTTCCATTCCCACAAAGACTATTTGCTGTTGTGCTTTCTCCCCCTTAGGTGATTGTGGTAGATGAGTCAGATACTGAAGAAGACATTTTTCCTACCACTTCCAAAGCTGATCAAAGGTCGGTGCAGTGACTTCCTGCAAAAAGGAACATCTGAAAAAATTAAAAATTATCCAGAATTCAACCTACATATTTCTCTATGCTACAGAAGTCTGATTTTTAAAAAAAATTTTATTTATGTATGTATGTATGTATGGCTGTGTTGGGTCTTCATTCCTGCACACAGGCTTTGTCTAGTTGCTGCAAACGGGGGCTACTCTTCATTGTGGTGTGTGGGCTTCTCATTGCGGTGGCTTTTCTTATTATGGGCTCTAGGCGTGCAGGCTTCAGTAGTTGTGGCTCGCAGGCTCAGTAGTTGCGGCACACGGGCTTAGTTGCTCTGTGGCATGTGGGATCTTCCCAGACCAGGGTTCAAACCCATGTCCCCTGCATTGGCAGGCAGATCTTAACCATTGTGCCACCAGGGAAGCCCTGGAAGTCTAACAGATTTATTTTCAGCTAGTCACGTATGTTCAAAAGTGAAAAATAGACCAAGGGGTAGTTCGTGGAGTCAATGCAGCATTATTACAAGTATTTTCACGGAAAATTTGAATAACTTGTCATTCATTTCCTTTCGCCTTTATCACCCAGTGATTTTATTGCTGGAGTACTATGTCCTCTCCAATTAACAGAAAATAGCTTTGTATTTTGTTAATATTCTGTTTCAGCTTTCAGCACTTCCTGTGTGTCAGGTACCATTCTGAGCCTTTGCCTATGAATTAGCTTATTTGCTGGTCACAGTCACTCCAGGAGGTAAATGTACTTATAACTCTATTTTCCCCCTTTTACCTTTGAAGAAAGTGAGGCGTGGTAGTCTACGTAACTTACCTAAGGTCACACAGCCAGTCACGGAGCCAAGCATTCTGCTCCAGGACTCATCTCTGCTGTTGCCGCTGCTGCTTCTTTTCTTTTTTTTTAAATTTTATTGAAGTATAGTTGATTTACAATGTTGTGTTAATCTCTGCTGTACAGCAAAGTGAATCAGTTGTACATATACGTATTCTTTTTCATAGTCTTTTCCATTATGGTTTATCACAGGATACTGAATATGGTTCCCTATGCTATGCAGTAGGACCTTGTTGTTGATCCATCCTGTGTATCAATATAATAATTTGCATCTGCTAACCCCAAACTCCCACTCCATCCCTCCCCCACCTGCCTCCCCCTTGGCAGCTACAAGTCTGTCCTCTATGTCTGTGAGTCTGTTTCTGCTTTGTAGATAAGTTCATTTGTGTCGTATTTTAGATTCCACATGTAAGTGATATCACGTGATATTTGCCTTTCTCTTTCTGACTTACTTCGCTTAGTATGATCATCTCTAGGTCCATCCTCTGCTGTTGCTTCTTCACATAACAGATTAAGCTCTCAGACCTCTGTGCATGTAATAAGAATCATTTAATTGACGAGAGGAGATTTAGAAATGCACATTTTGGCAAGAAATCTGAAACCAGCCTTGGCAGATTTGTGTTCCTGATGACAGCAACTGGGTGACGCAATTTATGCTGTCTTTGAAGAATTGTTTAGTAATGGCATGGCTTGCATAGGTATTTCACTCATGATTTAAAGTATTTAAGCTCTACCACTTACTGAGTGTGGATGTTGTGCAAGTTTTGTTGACTTCTGTGCCTCAGTGTCCTCATTTGTAAGGTGAAGATAATAATATTTACCTCAAAGTGTTGTTATGAGGCTTTAAAGTGAGTTAATATTTGTGAAGTGCTAAAGTACAGCACTTAACACATAGTAACACCTCTAGAAGGGCTTATTGAAGAAATAACAGGCTAGGGAAATAGAACAAGAATAATGGAAAGAATGGTAAGCAGTAAAAGCACTAATATTCTGGTAGTTGACTTTAAAAAGGAAAGAACTTCCAGCTGTAAAACTCCTTTCTGCTGGATGGGCAGTGGAAATCCACCCACTTTCCCCTGGAAAAACTGCACCAAACTCTACATGGTTGTACTGGGGACAAAAGGACCCTTCCAGATTTGATAGAGCTGGTGGCAACCTTCCCCTCCCTGCCGACCTTAAAGCAGTGAGCAAGAGAAGACCTGGCCCCATCAGGCCAGGTAGAGGAGGAGAGATGGAGGGGATTCTATTAAACCTTGCAGTGGGGGGAGCCAACATTCTGGGGGCACCTTTTATGTAGGCCAATTTAACATGTTCTCTTATGCTTGTGATGCTGTTACAACTGACATAATTGGCTGAACATCTCTAGGTAGGAATTCTGACTTGTGCCTCCAAATTATATCTGTACAAAAATGGAGAAGACTTACAGCTCCTGGCACTCAATGTAATACCCCCTGTCTGCCTTATTTTTGAGCCATCCACAGGAAACTAATCCAATTAAACATTTTTTGACGTCCAGGACAAGAGTCCATTTATTTGACCCAGTAGTCAAAACTGTATAACTATTCTTCCCTTCCTGCCACTGCTCTCTGAGGATAGGGGACCTCTCATAGACTGGATCTGTAGGTGTGTGAGGTCCTCTGGTGCAGAATTGGGGGCTCCTGCTATGATCAAATGAGCCAGCATCTGGTGTAGAATGCCTGGCTTGTTTCTGGACACCACTGGTTATTTGTCTGGGGAGACATCAGCAAGCAGAGTCAGGCCTCAGTGAGTGCTTCTTCCTATAACCCCCCTCTTTCCCCAGCTCTCACAGCAACAATGCCTCACCTGCTGTGACTAGCCTTGGCACTGTGGCTTCATGCTTTTGATCTGCTTCTTCCTGTCACAGATGATGGAAACAAGCCAACAATGATCAGTTCCTGCTTAGGTCAAGTACAGAGAGTTGGGGACTTCCCAGGTAGATTGGTTGATAAATTCCTTGATCCTCTACCTCCAAAGCTATGTTGCTCTTCAAGTTTGCTCGGCAGATCCTCCTGTCCTTTACTTTTGTGCCTAAGAGCCTGTGGATTTTTCTGTTTCCTTCTGATGCATAGACCTCTTGACTCTCAACAATTTGTCCAGACAAGCCCTTTGCTATAGTAACATCCCAAAGCATGGTAATAAATTGTTGGCTAAGAGTTCACAGACACTGCTTTTATTTAAGACAGGAGCCGGCAGACTTTTTTCTTAAAGGGCCAGGTAGTAAATGTTTTAGGCTTTGCAGGCCAAGAGGCAAAACTGGGGATATTATGTAGGTGCTTATATAACCATTTAAATATACCCATTTCAAAATGTGAAGACCATTCTTAGCTCACAGGCTGTAAGGAACAGGTAGGCTGGATTTGGTGTGCTAGCCAAGTTTGCTGGCCCCTGTCCTAAGATGACCTAAAATTTTTGTTAGTAGAAATACATAGGAATATGAGTTGCATCGCTACAAGTTAAGCTTCATAAAAGTAGATTTCTGATTATCTTGCTTACTGATGTTTCCCAGGGCCTATCATAGTACCTGGCAGGGGTCAAGCACTAAGTAAATATTTGTTTTTCGGACTGGACACAAATAATATTAACAGTGAGACAACCCTAGAAAGCGGTGAGCCTTTCCTAAGATCCTTTTATCCTGTTACAGAAACGTAACTGAGATTTGATTTAAAATATTTCAATATTGCCATAATTTTCAGGAGTAGAGGGTGGTAGTAGGTACATGTTAATATATGCTAAGAACTATGATGTCAGCAAACATCTGTGGCGTGCTTCATGTGTGTCAGGCACTGAGCAAAGTGTTTAAGTATATAAACACATTTAATCTGTAAAAAATTCTTATCGGGCTTCCCTGTGGCGCAGTGGTTGAGAATCTGCCTGCTAACGCAGGGGACACGGGTTTGAGCCCTGGTCTGGGAGGATCCCACATGCCGTGGAGCAACTAGGCCCGTGAGCCACAACCACTGAGCCTGCGCGTCTGGAGCTTGTGCTCCGCAACAAGAGAGGCCGCGATAGTGAGAGGCCCGCGCACCGCGATGAAGAGTGGCCCCCGCTTGCCACAACTAGAGAAAGCCCTCCCACAGAAACGAAGACCCAACACAGCAAAAATAAGTACATAAATTAATAAACTCCTACCCGCAACATCTAAAAAAAAGATTAAAAAAAAAAATTCTTATCATCCTCGTTTTACAGGTGAGGAAATTGCGGCACAGGGAGGCTAAGCTGCTTGAAGCCATGTGGCTCCTAAATGGCAGAACTGGAATTCAGACCCTGACATCAGAGTCCTTTTCATTGCCACTAAGCTTCTACTGCCTCTGATGTAGCTCGAAGGGAATGTGTTAGTTATTTTTATTCATGGCTGCTACTAAAATGAAAAACTTAGCTCGAAAGCCTTCTGTGATGAATTCTTTGGTTCATTTTCTCTGTTTTTCTCACATTTTGCCTCAGGTGGTTGAGCACTTCATCATCGAGCAAACGCACGTCCCGGAACCAAATCGCTAAAGGGGTTGATTTTGAATCAGATGAGGTAATAACGTAATACGTTAAGTCTTAAATAATCCTTAAATGTTTATAAAATCTGAATAGGGACTGCTAAGCTAGTTGCCGAAAATTATTTCTAAAAATAGTTTCATTGATCACCTTCCTTTGAACCATAGTTAATATTGAGTCAATGAGTGGCCTCTGTTGAGTGCTCATCGATGGAAATACCTCAGATGTGAAAGGCCTGCAGATCCTTAACATATAATATCACTCAGCTCTTATTTAACTTGCCCAGTTAACAGTAGGATCAGAATAGTTTTTTCAGCTTCTGTTGTTTATGTTTGGAGAAATAGTGGTGATGATATCGTGAAAGCCTTTAATGTTGCTTTACAACAGAATGTTTATTAAATGTTCACTGTATGCTCTACACATTTCCTGTATATTTAAGGCGGTACATGGTGGTGTTTTTCAGTTGTGGTAGAAGCACATAACATAAAACTTACCATCTTAACCAGTTTTAAGTGTACAGGTAGTTCACTAGTATTAAGTATATTTACTCTGTTGTGCAACAGTCTCCAGAACCTTTTCATGTTCCCAAACCAAAAATCTATACCCATTGAACCACATCTCCTCATTTTCCCCTCTCCTCAGCCCCTGGCAAGGGGCTCTTCTACTTTGTGCACTATGATTTTGACTACTCTGATACTTCATATAAGTGGAATTATACAGCATTTTTCTTTCTGTTCCTGGCTTATTTCACTGAGCATAGTGTCCTCCAGGTTCATCCCTGTTGTACCACATGACGCACACCTTTGGTTTTGAGCTTCACCTGCTGCCGCCATGTTCTCTGTGTCCCAGTTGTGGTTTTGAAACAGCTTGAAGAGAAGACGCCCCAGAACTCAGGCTGCAAAGAAAAATGGCACCATGAGCTCAGTCTGCCTATTAAATACTAGCATGTTGCCTCCAGGAGAGAAGTGGGCAGTTGTTGACCCGTTTATTAATTCCAAAGCATCTAGATATACATGTGGTTATATGTTACTTACAGAAATTCATATAGTTCATGTTAGCTCCAAAGGAGAACTATTAGCAAATTCTCTACTCTAGTTTGGATTTATCTCTGGTTTATTAACAAGTTCTGCCTTTTATGGTAGCAGAAAGTGAATCAATAAGGGAGAGCGAATTTGTGTTTCTCAAGGCATCCATATCTCACTAGAGGCGGCTAATCTAGCGAACACTGGGACATGTTAATATCACCAGCAGAGCCTAACACCAAATAATTACCCCTTTTGATTAATGTCTTAGAGGAAACATAAATCAAAACTTTACAAATTTGCTTTCTCTTTTGAATAGCTATAGAATGTATATCATTGATTTTATGTTAACCTCATCAAATTATGTATTTGGGGCTTATCGAAGGTTTAGTTTTCATTCTCTCTAATTAAATTCTTAGTTAACATCTGATATTCCTGCCTGTTCTTACTATGCATATAATCTACGTCCCAGCAGCATGGGAAGTCTTTGAAACTAAATAGTTCCTCTACTTATTTTTCCAAAAAAAATATTTGAAAGATTGCTTTCCTAGGTTGTTTCTTGTACCAGTCTGAGAGTAGCTGTCTATTTCTAGCATTAAATGGGTAATGGAAATAAAAATTACAGCTATTTCTGAATTAGGTCATGTGGCTTCATTATTTTTTTGGCTCTGAATTTCCAGAGCATCAGATATACCAGTTATAAAATGTAAGTGAAAAAAAAAAGAAAAACCTATTTAAAAACCTAATAGAAATGACTTGAAGAGGTTTTTTTTTGTTGTTTTTTTGTCTTGCCCATGCCTTATTTGCTTTTATTAAGGTGAATAATTGAGAGAAATATATATGATATATATTGTGGGCTTATATATATACACACATATAGAGCAGGATAAATTTTTATTTTTAATGCTTGCTAAGAATTTAGTTGGACTTTCATTGTTTTAACAATGAAATAGCTACTAAGGAAGGGAGGAAGAGAAAAAAATTGACAAACTATTCATATTTATAAAGGAAATAGAGAAGTGAAAGTCTACCGCATGTGAAAGGAGGAAATGGCTCTTACTGGTATTGTTTTGCCCATAAGAACTTCTGTCTTGTTTCAGCGAAGCGTGGACCAGTCACTAATTTTACATTTGGATGTCATTCCAGGATGATGATGATGATCCTTTTATGAACCTTCGTTCTGTAAGAAGGGACAGAAGATAATATATTTAATGGCAGTTTGAAGTTTTCAAGATGCAGGAAAAATCGAAACGTTGCAAACTACGAGTTTACCAGTTGAAGATTTTTTGAGTATTGCTGTTAACTGAAGAATTTGAATGATTCTTACTTAACAGAGAAACTAATGTATAAAAATTTATGGTTTTGAATATCATTTCCTGAACATGACTTCATTATTTTGAGAAACTTCCCAGCTCAAGGGCGTATAGAATAGCATTGGTTTTCCTTATTTTTTAATCTGGTTGTTAACATTACCTGTTCTATAAATGCTCCATAAAACTTAGAATGTTGTTTTTCTGACATACATCAGTATATGTCTTACCGAGTGAGAGCTTTGCTTAAATACAGTCTTGAGTAAGGACTAAAATAAATCTACCATTGTACGTTTCTGCTTTATAATCAAAGACTGTGCCAGTATTTTAAGGTTATTATATTTAGCCAAAGTTGAGGAGAAGAGCTTATAGAATCTAGCCCTTTTTATAATTTTCATAATTTCTAGACATCCTGGATTTCCTGCAGGTAAAACAATTTATATGAAACGGTGCCTAAGCTCACTGTCTGTTACTCAGTATGTGTTCTTTTTCTAATGCTTGTGATAGTATCAGCCAGAAACTTTGAATGATTACATATACCCTATACTTTGAATAATTAGATATGTTTGTATCAAAAAATGAAGTCTGTCACAATTGTTTTTTATTCCAGTTGTAGCAAAGATTCCAGAGGATTATGTTCCCATTGAATGGTGGTAATTTTCTCCATTATTTTCTATTATTAATGGTTCTCTCTCTCTCTCTCTCTCTCTCTCTCTCTCTCTCTCTCTCACCTGTTTCTAGGAGGAAAGGGTTAAAATAATTTAACCATATCTTCTCAGAAGCTATTGAAGAGTTTTGTTTTATTTTGTTTTAGATAGAGTGGTCACTTGAACCTTATGATTATATTAGATAAACATATTGAAATATAACTTCTGTGGAATATCAATGCCAAGGTTTCTCATTAATATTTTATCTTAACATTGAGCATGGGCAATTCCAAAATCTTAGAGAAGCAGCTCCTGTTACATTTTCTTACGTGTATTCGGGGGACCTAAGAATTTGACCTCTTCAGATTTAAGTTCAATAATCCCATTCTCCTTTTTAAGACTCTGTTTAAAGACTCCCTGAGAGTATTCCTCCTTTTCATCTAACAGTGCAGCTGTATATTCAAGACTCCTTAAGGAAGTTATAGATCTTGGTGGTACAACAGCCTGACATTTCTTTATATGTAGAAACAAACGCTAGACTGAGTGATATTCCTGATAGGCATATTCATACCTAGAATGTGTCAAACTATAAAAGACAGCATTTGCTTAGTGGCTGCCTCTATATCATAGCCCTTTTAATGGGTCTAAGTCAAGAATTGCGATGTAGCCTTAGTTTCTTTAAAAATGTTTTCTGTGCCTCACTTGAGCATAAGGATTATTTTAGCAGGTTGCATTAACTCAGCAGAAGGCCTTGTCCTGTGAAAGATTCTCAGACACATCTGCTCCCATCTTTAATATTCCCAGTATTTGAATGAAGCAAAGATGAAATCATGAGTAAGAGTTGCTCTCCATGGTGGGATGGAAGCTGGTTTGGGTGGCTGTCTGGGAAGACTCAGCCAATGGCTCTCCTCACCTTCCAATGAGATGTCACCTGCTGGGGTGAGGGTCATAGTGAGGGAGATGGTCACTAATGCGTCCTGACAGGTTCCTGAGAAAAAAAGAGTAAGGCTTTCTCCCTTTCTACAAACTGCTCTATGGTATGAAAGAGGTACTAAATGTGATTCTGTTAGCTCCTAGGAGAAGTGATTCCATGGCAGTGAGAGAGGGTGAAACTCAGCCAATTCAGGTCATTTTGCGAATAGCATGTGTCACCTGGAAATACAGTAAATAGGAAGGAAAAACCTTTTTGATGAATATTGCTGCATAGTTAAATATGCCACATATCCTTGATATTCTGTATTGATGCAGTGAAGTCTAGGGTTTTTTGGACAGTTCTCAGACATGTTGGAATAGGTGTGTAGCGGTGATTTCCAGATGACTGCAGAGCCCCTACAGTTCCTTGAGGCTGAGACAGGGCCTCAGTGAAAACGTTCTGAGGGAAAAAATCCTTCCATCGTTTACCAAAGAATATCCCTCTTTCTGACATTTTGTTGAGTATCAAAAATACAATAGTGCGTTTACAATTCTAGGAAATAAAACTGGTACTTAGAAAATTCAAGCATTTAGGCATACGACTTTCAATTTGGGTACAAATTGGACATTTTTTCCCTAAACTTTAAAAATTATGACCTGCAATAACAGAAAAGTCATGTGCTTTAACAAATAATGATAAAGTGAGCCTCATGACATTCTCTGTACAGGTCAGGAAATAGAACTTGACCAATGCCTCAGAAGCCCACCAGTGTTCTCTCCTGGAAACACGTCTTGACGCCTGCAATTCAGAAGTTCTTACTTTTGCCACAAGGTGGTGCTTCCAAATCTAAACTTAAGCCAGTGTAGTTTTGCAGTAAATTTGGAACCTGTGCATACTAAACTATGCAGTAAAACCAAGGTTAGCTTTCTAATTTTATGTGTAAATTGCTTGACATATTTCACCTGGCTCAGCCTGTTGAAATTGCCAGGAAATTGCCCGTAAAATTGATAAATTTTACATGTAAAGGGTCAAGAAGAAAACGTTTTATGTTTTAATAAAGAGGAAAAACTCTTTATTAGAAAAATGGAATAAAAAAGTCTCCCATTGTAAAAGTTTTCTGTTGAAATGTACTATATTTAAAAATAGCAGGACTTCCCTGGTGGCACAGTGGTTAAGAATACGCCTGCCTATGAAGGGGACATGGGTTCGATCCCTGGTCCGCAAAGATCCCACATACTGCGGGGCAACGAAGCCCGTGTGCCACAACTACTGAGCCCACGTGCCACAACTGAAGCCCGCAGTGCCTAGAGCCTGTGCTCCGCAACAAGAGAAGCCACTGCAGTGAGAAGCCCTCGCACCACAGCGAAGAGTAACCCCCGCTCCACACAACTAGAGAAAGCCCACGCACAGCAACGAAGACCCAACATGGCCAAAAATAAATTAATTAATTAAATTTAATAAAAATAACCATCCCCCAATGTAACCTGATGTCCTCTTTTGTGTCTCATACATTTAATTCACAGTATTTTGTGGCTTTTTAAAGCTAACTACCATTAAGGTTATATAAAAGATTTTATAGAATGAAGAGTTGGTTTTTTGAGTCCAAAGAGCTTCCATATTTTGAATGAAAAATGTCCACATTTCATCATTTGCTTATCTCATTTTCTGTTAATAGTCTGAACTTAATGTTTAATAGCTAGGTGTGAAAATACTGGTGATTTAGCTTAGCCTCTTAAGAAGTCAGTTCACGTAGCTTGCTATTGCCATGACCGATAACTAGATCTGATTTTAGCTGTTTAAATCGTAAAGGAAATGCATATTTATTCTTCAAAATTCAGACATTGAAATTTTATCAAAACGTGTGTATTTCCCTATAATCCTCTCCCCAGACACAACCTCTCAACAATGATGTATATATTTCTCCAGTTATTTTCGGCATGACTACTAACAAAAATTGTTGAATTAGAACCCCAAATTGTATAGTCAAATATTTTAGTCTTTGTATCAAGGTATATGTTCACCTTGATACTTTTCTTGACATCCTGATTTTTCCATATCTTCTTTATCAAACTCTTTTAATTAAACCATCATTGCCTGTTTTAAGAGGTAATTGTACTGCTTTCTGATGTGTAATTTAAATGTTATCACTCAATAATAATTTGGGTCAAATAAAAGAATATTTAATCTGTGTGCCTTGATGTCGTAAGTGGTAAAGTGAGATTCAAAGGGCTCTTGGCTTGTGATTGCACATAATAGTTGATTAGATGAAAGAAGCACAATGGATATTAGGCTGGTTGGCCCAGGCCACACTCTCTTCTGCCTGTCAGAGCCGCTAGGCAGTGCTGATGGTTCACGCACAGCTACCTAACACTAGTGCTTGAGTACCCTTGATCACAGTGCCTGTTTAATTTCAAGAGTTTCATGTTCGTCTTGTTTAATAATCAGTATTTTCTCCACTGTAAGCTTATAAAACTAACTTCAGCCTACCTATGATTGCATTTGAACTGATTGCGGGGTGTATCTGGACTTTGCGCAAATGCTGCTAGAGGCAAAAAGCCACTGCCTAATGGAATAAGAGGTGCAATTGCACATCTGTTGGTTTTTTGTGGGTTTTTTTTTTGTCTATTGGTCTTAATAGTCCGGAAATAGGACTTGTGAAATGACATCTATCCATTCATCATAGACATATCTGAAAACACCCGGTGGTTGATCATCCCAGTCTTGATTTCTGAACTTTTTAGTAGTGCTTTAAAACCAGGTCATGTTTTTTAAACTTTTAATTTTGAAATAATAACAAATTTATGGAAAATGTGTAAGAATAATAGAGTACTTTTTACCTTTTACGCAGATTCACCAATTTTTAACGTTTCATCATTTAAAAAGTTATTCTCTATGTGTGTATGTTCCACACATATATATTCATATACAAGCATGAACATGCACACTTACATATACTTTTTTTTCAATCTTTTGAGAGTAGGTTGCAAGGGGTAATGCTCCTTTACCCCTTATTGTTTTCTTCAGTGTATATTCATGTGTCCTCAAATCTTACTCCCTTCCCTGTTGCCCCATCCCTTTCTCCTCTTTCTGCTCTATCCATTGTAGGTAAACAGTTTCATTCTTGTTTATCCTTTCTGCATTTCTTTTTGCTAAAAGTGGATATGTGTATTTTTAATTTCCCCATTTTTCTTATACAAAAATTTGTACGCTATATATATTCTCACTCTGAACAATATATCCTAGAAATTATTCCCTACAATTTTATACAGGTCTTTTCTGTTTTTCATAGCTACACAGTCCTACATTGAATTTAAATACCATGGTTTATCATTCTCCTACATATGGGTATTTAAGTAGTTCCAATATTTACAATATATAAATAATGCTGCAATATTAACCTTATTAGTATTTTCATATTTTTGGAAGTTTATCTTCAGAGTAAATTCCTAGAAGGTGGGATTGCTTGGTAAAAGGGTGAATGCATATGTAGTTTTGCTAAATACTGCCAAATTCCCTCCAGAGAGCTTGCACCGTTTTGTATTTCTGCCAACAATGTGTAAGACTGCCTATTTCTCCATATCCTCACCATCGGAATTTATTGTCAAGCTTTTGATTTTTTGCCAATCTAGTGGATGATAATCTCCATGTAGTTTTAGTTTTCATTTCTGTTATGAATGAAGTTGAACTTGTATGTGTAAGGGCCATTTTTGGTGCATTGCTTGTTCGTGTATTTTGTCCATTTTTCTAGGATTTTTAGTTCCTTCCCCTCAAATTAATTTTTTTAAAACTTTTATATTAAGGATATTGACCCTTTGTCTATAATGTATTGCAAAATTTGTTTTCTTGCTCTCCTTTTGTGCTCTTATAGTTTCATTTCTTTCACATTTACATCTCTGATCCATTTAGAGTTTACTCTTGTGTAAAGTTGTGAGAAATGGATTTAATTTTATCTTTTACAAATGACTATCCAGTTGTCTGTGCATCATTTATTAAAGCGGCCTCTTTGCCCCATCAGTGTGCTAGATTTTCATATGTAGTGTGGTCTGTTTCTGGACTTTCTATTCCATTCCATTAGTCTGTCTCTTCATGCATTGATAGCACGAAGTTTAAATATGAAGGCTGTGTAGTATGGTATAATGTCTGATAGGGCTAATCACCCCTCATAGCTTTTCATTTTCAATGTTTTCTTAGCTATTCTTTTATGTTTGTTTTTCCAAATGAACTTAAGTATCAATTTTGCAGCTTCAGCAACAAAAAAAATTTTTGTTTTTTTTTTTGGAGGAATTGCATTAAATTTATAAATTAGGAAGAACTGACTGGATGTCAAGTCTATTTTATATGTTTCAGAAATGTTCTAAATGTTCTTCATAGAGGTTTTGAACACTACTAAAATTTAATCTTAAGTATTGTCTTTTGCACTGCTATTGTGATTGTAGTTTTTCTCTTCCATTATATCTTTTTTTTTAATTTTATTAATTTTATTTATTTTTGGCTGCATTGAGTCCTTATTGCTGTGCGTGGGCTTTCTCTAATTGCAACAAGCAGGGGCTACTCTTCGTTGCGGTGGCTTCTCTTGTTGTGGAGCATGGGCTCTAGGCACGCGGGTTTCAGTAGTTGTGGCATTCAGGCTCAGTAGTTGTGGCTTGTGGACTCTAGAGTGGGTTCAGTAGTTGTGGTGCATGGGCTTAGTTGCTCCACAGCATGTAGGATCTTCCCCGAACAGGGCTGGAAACTGTGTCCCCTGCAGTGGCAGGAGGATTCTTAACCACTGTGCCACTAGGGAAGCCCTTCCATTATATCTTATAACTGGTTATTTTTATATATGAAAGCTATTCGTTTTTGCATGATAATTTTATATCTTGCTAACTTGCTGAATTCTGTCATTTAAATTTGTTTTATCTTTGATGTGCTAGGATTTTCCAGGTGTAATTTTACGTGACCCACCAATAAAGATATTTTTGCTTCTTGTTTCAATTCTTATGCCTTTAATTTTTTCTCTTATCTAAGTGCATTGGCCTCCACCTCCATGTTAATATATCCAAAAAACTGGCAAAGTGCAGACAGGGAATGTAAAGTTTTTTCTATACACTTTGGTGGAATGTTACCAAAGTTAAAAAACTGTAACTAGAAATAGCTCGGAAAATTCTTCTCCAGGCAAATTTTATAAATTTACCAAATAATAACTTCATTCAAATGGAATTATATGATGTGTACCTTATTGTGTATGACTTCTTTCTCACAGTGTGATGTCTGAGATCATTCATGTTGTATCATGACTCTGTACTTTTTCATTGCTTATAGCAGTTTCCACTCTCACCAGTCCATATCCTTGCAAAATATTTGGTATTTTCAGTCTTTTTAATTTTAGTCATACTGATGGATATGTAATAGTATCTCCTTGTGGTTTTATTTTCATTTCTCTGATGACTAATGATGTTAAGGAACATTTCGTATTTTTTGTGCAAATTTTGATGTCATCTTTTGGGATATATGTATTCAGATATTTTGCCCATTTTTGAATGGGTTGTCTGCCTTTTTCTTACTGATTTCTGGGAGATATATTTTATACAATTCCTTTGTTGAGTATATGTATTGCAAAATCTTCTCCAGTGGCTTACCTTTTTGTTCTGTAAATGATGTGTTGTTGAACAGAAGTTTTTAATTTCAACAAAGGTCAGTTTGTCAATGATTAATGTTTCTGTGTTCTGTTTGAGAAAACCGTGCTCTATCCTAAGATCATAAAGAGATTCTTCTGTGTTATGTCCCAGAAGCTTATCTGATTTGCCTTTCACATTTAACTCTACAGTCCAGCTGGGAGTTGATTTTTATGTGTGGTCTGAGATAGGAATCATGTTTCATTCTATTCCACATGGAGATGCACTGGCCTCAGCACCATTTGTTGAAATGACAGTCCTTTACCCCTGCTCCGCAGAGCTATCTTAGTCATTAATTAACAGACCATATATATACAGATCAATTTCTGAAATCTTTATTCTGTTCCATTGCTCTATTTGGAATTAATTGCTATAGTTTTTTAATGAGTTTTGTAATAAGAACAA